GAAGCTATGATTCAGTTTACCAGCATGTGAAAAGTGCACTGTTGCTGTGCTGAGAGTTTAAATCAAGATTATATATAAACTTTTTACCCAGCCTAAAAATAACTGTACATTTAGAAAAAAAGTACTAATAGCAAAATGAATTCTTTCAATCCATGTTTTATTACCTTGCCAGAAGTCTTTAAAATATTGTTTTGAAAATTGTCAGCTAAATCTGTTGTGGCCTTGTTTTAGCCCATTCACTTTGGGAGTAATATATCACATTATTGGAACGGATCCTTTTTTGTATTACGAGCAGTGTCTGAGATCATCAGTGCTGATACTGGGTTCATAAAAGAAGTAGTATAGGATAATACAGTATTTGTTTACTGGTTAGTGAAATCATGGAATGAAAATATTAGGAAATCTTTTCAGATAGTATTAATGTTCTGACAGTGTTAGTGTTAGACAATACAAGCATTGAACTAAAATTCACTGAAACTGACCCCTTCAGTTGAAGCACGTGTGCTGTGTTCATGGCAGTACTACTCGAGCCCTTAAGCTGTGATGAGATACTTTGTTTCTGAAAAATGTCATTGTAATGAGTAAGGCAAAAGTAACTATCTTTTCTTTTTTTTTTTCCTCTTTGGTGTCTGCATCTGGCAGGAAGCCTACTTTCTGCTAAAATTCTGTGGGTGAGGAATTATATAAGAAGATATTTATTTTTAATTGCAGTTGTCACATTAAGCTGCAGTGTTACTCACCAAGCAAGAAAAGTATTAGATAATGTGTATAAAAAGTTGAAAATTTTGCCTTAATTTCTCAAGATGTTCTATTTAATTTCTTTCTAGAATTGCCAGGATGTATCTTCTGTCTTGGATATTGATGGAATTTAGAAATTTGTTCTGTTTTCACATGGCTGCTTACATAACGTGTTAGCATTTTTTTTTCCTCTGGATTCTTTGTTGTTCACTTGCACATCCGTCTTTACTCAGACCTGCCTGGTCAGCCTTTCTGCTTTTATAAGGAAGTTTTTGCTTCTGTCCAAGAAGAACCTGTTGAAAATATGTACAGCTTCAGTGCATGGATAGTGCTGCTGCACAACAGAAAGGCTTATTCCTTTAACAAAAAATAGCCAATTCAGGGCTTTCCTAAAATTTCCTAAACTTAATGAAGTTGTAATTTATGTCTTAAAAGAGAAAAGACCGACATCAGAAGTTCATTGGTATTTTAGTAGCATGGTGTATGGAATGTTTTAAAGTGTTTGCTTGCAATTGTTCTGTAGGAAAGATTTGGATGTAAAAATCAAATACAGGGACTGATGTGAATTAGTAAACACATAAGAATAAAAACTTTATGAGGGCTAGAGGTTTGTTTTTCCAGCCTAGGCTTTCACTTTCTTAATACCACACTGCTCGTATGGTAAAGTGTGCCCATTTCTGCAGACCTTCTATGGGTTGCTTATGATAAATAATTTTTCTCAGCTACTGTGGTCTTCAAGAAGCAAGAGAGAATTTCTGATTTGCTAAATGTATGGCAGAAGGAGGAGAAAGTTGTCTATTTCTCATAGAGAAGGCCAGGTGGCAAATACAGTAAAAATGCTTTGGCTGTTCAGGTATTTGCTGGGCTATTAGCAAATACCTATTTGCTGGGCTGTCAGCAGTGTAAAAGCTGAATGTCCCTTTGAACAGAAATAGAGTATGTATTGAACACTTTTTTTTCACTCTATAAGTAATGCAAGAATTACTTTTTTTGTCTTTTCTGCAGGCTTAATTCTCTTGCTAATTGCTACAGGAAAGTCACTTTAAGGAAGCTAGTATTGAATTTTCTTTTGAAGGCAATAGTTATACTTGCCACTTCTAGAGCATTCTGTTCTAAACCTGAGCTGCCAAGAAAACTGTCCATTTCTCCAATGAGTGTACTTTTGCTGGTTTTCTTTTGATTGTTCCAGTTGAATTTGCTTTCTTGTCCTCTGGGTCCCCCTGCTAGCAGTATGTTTCAAGAGTTTGGAAGAGGACAATAAAAATCCTTGATGTTGAAGGCCATTTTGAAATTGCTGTGGTACCAGTGGAACTTAGTGCTGCGAAGGTGGGTCAGCACTGGAGTACAGCAATTTGTTGGAGTGGCATGAGGAGGCTTATTGGTATGGCCAAACCATAGCACTTCAGTACAGAGATGATCTTCCTGCAGCTAGATAAAAGGAAATGTTCTCGAGTAGCTTCTGCTGTTTGAAGTGCCCAGTTAGATATCGCTGTGCCAATAGCCTAAATTGTAGCTTTGAGCAGCTTTAAGTGTCTTGGATAGGCTTGCGTAGCAAATTCCAGCAGTAGAAAGGCTGCAGTGTCAAAGATCGCAGCAGCAGCCTCAGCCTTGCTCAGCTCCGGGGTTGCAGCCCAAAGCCTGCTCCTGCCTGCAGCTTCACCTGCCTGGCACTGAAGGTATTTCCACCAGAGCAGGAGCAGAGCTCCTGGTGCTCTATCTGTGCTTTGGCAAGGTTACTGTCACAGATTCAAGTGCTTTGTTTGGATATTGGGTGACTGAGATGTATCACCTGTTTGGAGATCCTGCAGGCCCGCTCTGGGGTTTCTCTGTGTGGAAAAAGTTGCAAGTTTTCATTTGCTTCTTCCCAGTTTGAAGGATTTTGTGCATTTAACTGTATTTGCTCAAGGGAGAAGTGGATTCTCATGATGACTCTAGCATAGTGAGAAGCAGGAATAGTCTTTTTCTTAATTCTCCAACAGAACCTGAAGGATTTGGAAAGCTCATGGTGTCATCTGAGGAAGTATCTTGCTAGTTTGTTAAAAATTGGATAGATTCTATAATTTGAGGCAAAAGCATTAGATAAAGTAGCAGATATACTGCTGAAATTTTATAGTGTACCTTGAAATGACAGTTGTTCCTGGAAATGAAACAGTTTTTCCTGGTCAGTCAAGGTGTAGCATAAAAACTGCAGGAGGTTTTGATAACAGCTGAAGTATAGGTGGAGAAAGCTATATTGGAAATGTGTTTTTAGAATAAATAAAAACCACAATTAAAACCTTGGATAATTTACAGGAAAACTGGGCTGAAACTGCCTACAATTAGACATGGATTTGCTATCTTTTTTGTTTTCTGGTATGAAGGGATCCTAGTATTTTTTGTAATGCCAGAAAACCCTGTATAAAATGCTGATCTTCACAGCGTAAGGTAGGGACTGACTGTAGAAGGGAAGGATGAGACAGTAACTGGCATTACTGCAGACATTACTATTTTCCACGGTACAGTAGTTGAACTATAAAATGCTTTTTCTAGACTTCTGAATGTGACTTTCCCAAATGAAGGCAAAAGAGGAACAGTCATTTAAAAGACAAATCCAAAAAGTTTTGTCTTTTTTAGGGCCGTAGCAAGAGAATTCCTGAAGTTTCTATGTGGCTACTTAAAATTATGAAGGAGGAGCTAGAGCATGGCTAGTAGAGGGAGTTTTGTTTTCCTGTTCTGTTAGGTAACTTTTAAAATTTTTGTAAAAAGAAGTAGCAATTCATTAATAATTAGCATCTTTAAAGTTTCTTAGGTGTTTCCTTCAAACCTACAGAATATACGAATAATGTTTTAGATTTGGCAGCAAAAGTTGCAGAATCTTTTTCCCTTGCAAAACTGATGTTTATTGCCACTGAAATATTCCATTTATTTGGTCTCTCACATACAGTTCTGCATTTGAACTGGTGTTGATGTTACCCCTGTTGGGCTGATTCATGCAACTCCAGTCTCAGGGGAGTGCAGCTGGACAGTGTTTCCTTCTGTCTGTGGTGTGCATGCTACTCATCGTTCTCTTCCAGCCCTTCCTGTGGTTACATATGACTGTACTTCTTTTGCTGTTTCCTGTGCCTAGCACATGGAAATGGCTCACCAGGTTAGGCAGTCTGTTTTGGAGGGAAAATTCCTGTTTTGTTGAAAATTGAGGCTTTATAGTATGCATTCCTTTCACTGTGCCACTAAGTTGCATTTTGTTTCCTTTGAGGATTAGGATCAGGCAGTTGTTTCCGGGTGTCACCACCTGGCTGCAAGTCCTCCCAGAAGTTCAAGTTGGATAGTTTGGTACAGGATGTTCCTCTGAGTTGGATGTGTGCCTTCCTACCTTGAAGCTAGCTATTACTCATGCCTGCTGGCTTGCAGTGGCCTGGCCGTACCGATGAATGTCTTTATAATTTACTGTGGGTGCTTTTACAAAAGGTTCATTTGAACTGCAGCTTGCAAACCATTGTAAATGCCTTTTTTTTCCCCTGTTGAAGTAATACCTGCTTGAGAGTTTTGTGTTAATTATGATAGCTTCTTGTTGTTCTTTGTAATTTCTTAGTATTGGATTAATTTATATGTGGTTAAAGTCTTGTATGTTGGGCTGTTGTTTCTAGGCAGGATGAATTTCTTCTTGCATCCTTCACACTTGCTTTCAATCAAAAGGATTTTTTGAGCTACATTTCAGGAAATTGTTGCCACTTTACAAAGAATGAGACGATGAAAATTGTCTTAAGCTCTTAAGGAAGCATTTAAAGTATTCGTGCTTTCTGTGAAAGGGTTTGAGATATTAAGTGTGTGTTTTCTGTATGTTACCTTTTAAAAGAACCAGTGCATCCAGTTCAAAACTTTACTTAACACATATATTTCCAAGAAGAGCATGCAAGAATATAGTTCTTTATAAAATAAGCTTGCCTTCTAGGTTTTTTAATTGATTTATTTTGTTTTTGATATCATTATTGTCCTCATTATTCTTGTTTATAAAGTTCAGACTCCTCATTGCTTTTCTGCATTTGTGCTGTAACTTCATGAGAGCTACAAATGCTCTCATTTAGTAACTTCTTTCATTAACTTCCTTTTTCATAGTATATACTATTTTGTTTTTGGTTGTTTTGCTGAGAAGACAGTAGTACCATATTCTATTCCCCTGCAAAAAAAGAAAAAAATCTATACATGTAATAGACACTAGTGGATAAACCCATGGTTAAGGAAACATTTCCTGAAGCATTATTTTTTTTCTCTTTTCCTTTTAGTTCCCGGAATGGATGGTGGTGGGTTAGCTGATGCTAATCTAACGGATTCATACTTTAGCACCAGCTTCATTGGCGTTAATGGATTTGGAAGTCCTGCTGAAACGAAGTATCCCATGATGCAGGTAATAGCAGTGATTTGGATAATGTTTCGTTAGTTCTGGCTGGTGTTACGCCAAAAAGGGAAAACTGCTCAAGAGGCAGGACAAATGGAGCCTTCTGGAATGTGTCATCTTGTGTGATATACAGAGTATAAACTCACTTTAATTTTGCAAATGGAAATGAAGCAGGAAAAATTTAAATTGCTTTAAATTTAATCTGTTTTTATTTGCACTTACCTGAGCTGTTGTGTTGAGCTTTGCTGCATACATTAATTCTGTGTTAGGTTTCTTTTCTGAATGTGGCTTTCTAGATTTCTTTTTAGGCTCATAGCTTTTGATAGCCTTTTGCTAAAAATATAAAATTCTGATTTTGAAACTTTTCAAAGATCCAAAGTCGCTGAAGAAAAATGTGAACTGTCAGACCTGAAATTACTAGGCAAAATTTTCAGAATTTGTCAACTCAGACTCTGGTGGTGGTATGTTGGATTCATATTTAAATCTTCTGAAATGTTTTCTTGTATTTATAGAGTTCTGTAGAGGTTGGCATAGGAACTCCCATGAGGTGGAATTTGTGTAGGTAGTATTATGGAAAATTTGCAACAAAAGTCTGTCATATTTAAAACCTAAATGAGTATCTACTGAATTAACACATGAAGTATTACAATAACTCCCTCAAAGTATTATGCATTTTAAAAGAAGTACAGTCCCTGAAAGAAGATGGTCTGTCCTGTAGTAAACAAAGCAACTTCTGGTAAATGAGAGAGTGCGAGTCAAACAGTTCACACTGAGTGCTGACAACAACTCTCTTCTTTTATATCGAGGAAACTCTCCTTGTGAGGTTACTTTGATCTCAATTGTGGCTGTATAATCGATTGAAAAATAACTCAGCAAAAGGTGGGAATTAATTAGGTGTGTTCCTTTTTTTTCTTTTGTTTGTTTGGTTGTTTGTTTTTTTTTTTTACTGCATGTTTTCAAGGAGGCTGGATTTTCTTATTCGACAGAATTGCAGAAGTATGGAATTGTTTTCTTGACAGTTATGCATGATTTAAAAAGAACAATTTTAACCTCTGATTTCAAAGTGTACTATTGAACCTGGCAGTTAGAAATTTTTGTATAACTGAGGTCCTATAATTTTAACACAAAATCATTATGTTTTGTATCCGTAAACTGTATTCTACAGAAACACTAGTGTCTTTCTAAACACCAATTTTTAATTATAACTGTAACATCTAGAAAGACAGACAATAAGGCATGCATCTAACACGAATGCTTATGGGATTTTTAAATACTTTGCTAATGCCTGAGATTACAGTCAAGGCATTATTGTTTCTCTTTGAGAAGAAATCAATGTGCCTCTAGCCCATTGGAGGACAAGGAAAATTACTTTGGAAGTAGGTTTTTATTAGTGTTGAGAATGCGCTTACAGGCATCAAACTACAGTTTGAAAAGCATTCCTGTATTGATTTTTTTCCTTTGAATCCTGTAATTTAAGTTCTTGTTTACATACGTAGTGCTGTCTGTTTTGATTGTGTGACAGCTTCTAGGTTAAGTACATACTAATAAAGTTTAGCCACATGGAGTGAGATTTTCTGTGTCATTCAGCCCTGTGGGGAACAAGGCACTGGAGATATTTTACTGGGTTTGACTTTAAATAATACTGGTCCTTTATGATTTGGAATAGAGACTTTGAATCTGGTTGTGTCAAGGATCTACCTCTTGCTTGCTTTCTCTTAAAATTTGCACAGATTTTGTCAATTGATTAAACCTTTGCAGAACTGGTTTATGTGGACCCACTGGAGACTTCCTAGATGTTAAATAATTTCCCAAAGATATAATCTGCACTGGCTTGTTCTAGCTTGAGTACATTTTTGCAGTTGCAGCTCCGGCATAATCTAGGCCTTGACTGAACTCAGAGCAGGAATGCTGATCAGCTTCATTTCCCTCTTCCCTTCCACTTCAGACTGAAGCAGCATGGAAGTGGATCTATATTTAATGAAAGAGCTGTATCTGAGTTAATTAGAGCAGAGAGGTTGGTAAGGGAAAAGAAACTTATGCTGTGGGCTTAGAGAAGCTGAGCTGAAGATAAGTAAAGAAGAAACCAGGAAAGCTTGAGCAAAGGGACTGAAGCGGAGAGGAGATAGATCTTGGTGGGACACTCACAGAATGGGGACTGGAATGGTACAAGTACAATACACAGAAACTGAAAACAAGTTTTCATAATGTAAAGGTGGGACAAAGTAGGTGGAGAGAACAAATCCATGTTCCTATTTCTCTCCAGGTTCTCGAATCAAACTAAAGATGCTAAAACTTTAGTGTTCTGCCATCAATGAAACATCAGATGTCTTCTGTAAAATATTTCATTAACGCTCAGTTTTGCTTTTGCAGATGGAAACATTGGTTCCATCTGAATTACTTTGTCATCTCTGGTGAATCTGTAGTTCACAAATAAATGCATCAGTGATGCAATGAGGCAAGCTCTTCTGCTAGGTTTTTAAAACTGGGAAATTGCACAAACATGCAGATAAACACACTGCTAGAAAAACAGTAGTAAGATGAGGCAAGATGTTAGGAAATGGTAAGTTTAGGTTGCCAGCACAGCCTTGAGGTTGTGTTTCTCATAATGTTGTGTATTTGTTTTTTCAGTGGGAAAATTATTAGTGGGACTTACTCAGAACACAAGATGTATGGCACATTCATGTGTATTGAGCATCTGTTTGATATTTGATTAAATGTTCATCATATGGTTCTGTGCTTTATTCCTGCATGCTGTTTTCATCCTTGTGAAGACTCTTAGTTGGCAGTGCACTTTTGGGTGCCATTACAATTATTCCATCAAACTTCATGCAGTGCTTTCTGTATGAAACAGGAAAGTGGTCTACATTTTATGGATGCATGGGATAGAAAAGGATGGCAATTAAACAAACAATACTGCAACAGTGCTGGCAAACAAGAGACCTGAGTTTTTAAAACTAAGCTTTACAGTGGGAAGGTGAAGAATGGAATTAATGACCACCAGTAAAATACTTGGTTCAAGTTGCTTAACTGGCCTCACTCTAGCAAGGATAGTAAAAAAGTCAGTCTCTTCAGAGTATTGCTCATTTCTGTTACAATGAAATAGTCTTTCTGCTGTCCTTGTTTTATTCACTACATACCTCTCAATGTAATTGTCAGGTATTCAATTGATGAGTTGTCTTGACTATTCCTATCTAATCTCCAGAATGTGTTTGTCATGTGCAGCACATAAAACAGGTTTGTTGAAAGAATATGTGGTTGTATATGTTTGGGTTACCATAATGCGTATATAATGGAACCAGACTGCATCAAGCAAAGCTTTATCAAAGTTTGCAATTACCACATTTTTGTGTGCAGCGCCTGTTCTCGAAGAGTCAGTGTTAAGTAAGCAGCAAAAGGGTGGAAAGTGGATTATATCATGATGAATTTGGAGTGGATGTGCTGCTTTGACCATAAATAATGTAGCTGAATAGTTGTCAACATTTCTGTAGAAAGCTATTTCTGACTTGCAGATTTCATTTATATCTGTGGAAGAATATTTCATAAGATCTTGAACGTATCTTTGGGCTTACATTAGTGAGGAAGATGCAGTTAATGGCAATACTCACTTTGCAGTGGGGAAAACAGAGTAAAAGTACGTGGTACAGCTCAGAAGAGGCAGGATTTTTGAAGTGGCTGTAATTCTTCCTTTTTCTTCCTTTCTGAAAAATACCTCTTTGCCTTGTCCTTCCACTCCTCTTACTTCAAAGGTCTTTGCTGTCAGCCAACATTTCATTGCCCCCATCAGCTTCTGTTGTTACTAACTTGGTTTTCTATTGACTAATAGTCTTCTGTCCTCATTGGTTTGTGTTTTTCCATAAGACTGTCTCAAGTGTCTCTTCTCCCCTCAATCTGTGTATGCTTTCATATACTGTATTAACAGTTTTGTGTTCCATCTTATCAAAGCACTTTTTTTCTGTTTTCTGCTTCTCTAAGTAATACTGACTGCAGAGCAAGCAACACATGGTCCACAGGCTGCATGCTGTCCTCGAAGCTGTTTTTTTTTTTCTTTTTGGCATAGCAGCAGCTGCCAAGAGACAGTCAGAGGTGTGGTTCAAAAAGCAGCTCACTGCTTTTGGCTTTCCCAGCAGTGAAGAGGCAGGAGCTGGCTGGCTGGGATGCCTCTAATGCTTGGCTGTTTGCTCAGTGTGTGCCATTTGGTTGGCCGGTGTCACTGTTCCTCTGGCGTTAGTGCTGCCCTTTGATTAACTTAACTGAAGATGCAGGTGGTGTGGAAAGAAGCTTTAATAATACTACGTTGGGTTGTTCAAAGGGTATTATAGCAGGATGAGGCAGAGAAGTATCTTGATGTTAAAACTTTTAACGTATTAGAACTGAGCAGCTTGGTTGTGAGAGCATAAAACAGTAGAACGTGCCTTCATCCGTGTTGCTTCACAGGAATCTGGTTTTCTTTATTTTGATGGGATGAGATTTATAACTACATGGATTCCATTGTACTGACTGCAGGTTACATAGAAAGGAAGAATCTTAAGTTCTCAGTAAATCATCCTAATTGAAATAGGAGGGGAGTAACAGTCTTCAGTATCAAAATTGGCAAGGCCAAGCAATGGAGGAGAATTGGTTTTGCTTGCTTTCACCATGCAAATGTTGGTGTACTGTGCATTCTTGGATAGCCTGAGAAGTAGTGACCATGCTCACTTCAAAGCCTTGCAGCTGAATAAACACAAAGACTTTTGTTGCCATTGCTGCACCTGCCAACAGTTGTGTAATGAAACTCTCCTTATAGCACAGAAGCTTGTAAACGTCTTCAGTTTTTAACTGTTGAGAGCTGAGTGGAGCTACAGATGTGCTATTTGAAATACAAAATTATGCTGTTGTTTTCATGATGCTTTCTGAAGAAATCCAGTTGCTTTAGTTTCAGCAGTTGAGTGGGTCATTCTGTAGGTGGTGCCACATGTGCTGTCAAAGACAGGTTTTGGATTGCTTAAAAAGAAAAGCAAAAGATATCACCCTGTGTAGGTCACAGAGTCTGACAACAATGTCACAGCCAAACAAATCAGTCTTAATCTTTTGCAAAATGACTGTTTGTACTCTGGTCAATATTATTCTGAAAATTATAAAGAAATATTCTGAAATACAGTTCCAGTAAAACAGTAGAAAGATGAAGAGACTAGATTGTGACATACTGCAAAATATTTTGAGATAGTATGCTTAGCACTGTGGAATGACCATTAGGAAAATTCTAACTTGCTCAGGGTTAGGGCATGGAGTAGAGAGAAAAAGAGGAATAAATATAATCTCTTACATATTTTGGAGAAAAGAAATGGTGGAGAAAAAAAAAGAAAACCAGTCACTTCAAGATAAGTCTTATAAGCTATGTAAAACTAGATCTAATTGTCTGCATCAAAATTTTATTCATGCTTTATCTTGATGAGAGCTTTGTAATATATACTTGAGGGAGATGAAAGTAAAGCAAACTTGCCTTAAGTGCAGCTATAATTTTGGTGTTTGTTACTGAGTATTGAAGGGTGGAGGCAAGGTGGTATGTTCCTTTTAGAAGGTGGGAATGTTTGTTATAACACTTCTTTTCTTAGTATACCGCATGGAGGAAGTGGACTGCCTGAAGTAAAACATTGCTAAAAGGTCAGGGGTGGTGATCCTTCCCTTCTGTCCAGCAGTGGTGAAGTCACACCTGGAGTGCTGGGCTTCTCAGTACATTAGGGACAGGGATGTACTGAAAAGAGTCCAGTGAAGGGTCACAAAGAGGATGAGGGTACTGGAGCATCCCTCCTGTGAGAAAAACCTAAAACAGAATCAACTTTTAAATTCCTTTAAAGGGAGAGGGGCAGGATGTATGCCAGCCATCCTAGTTGAATTTTGAGTACTGTTTAAAGAACCTCAGCAAATCATACCAATAGGCAGGCGGAGAAAAGAAGTTTGTGGAGCTGAGTGTTTACTTGGTTATCAGAAAGATGTCTTTCTATATTAATTTCCATATGATAAAAGCCCTGATGTAGTAAAACAGTCTGAAGTTCTCATAGGTGTGTGCTTACCTTCTCTGTCAGGCTTAATATTTAATTTTCTTCCTTGTTAATGGTTGCTTTTGCCTTTCTGGAGCTTTCATCCCTTGGCCTTGAGGTGCTTACAATCTTCTTGAAATTGAGTTTGTATGAAAAATAGTTGAACATTATTAGAAGAGATTGATAAGTGTTATTTAAAATCAAAGCTACCTTCCTGAAAACACCAATAACAAACAGCACTTGTGTGTTCTTCTAATTTTTTTTTTTCTTTCAAGACTTTTTTGGTAAAAATCAGATACAGGAGTAGCCTTCATTAAGACTAAATGCATTTGGGTGTTGGCAGAAATCTTAATATTAAAACAGTTTAAAAAGCCTTTACTGATTACATGCAGGTCTTCTATGAATAATGTTAAGGTGAGAGGCTTGTGCTTGTGTAGTAAAAGTGAGCAAAATGAAAAATTCATGAATGTGGTGGAGGTTTCTAACTATTCCAGGTGCAGGTTACAAGCAGTTGTTAAGGCAAGGCTGCCCAAGCTTTGGTTTTTCAGAATCCTGGTGTGTGTAAGATATGTTTGCACCTTGAATGGGAACTTGACTTTGTAAAAGCACAGTTGATGCTCACAGGTTTGGGTTGCACTGCGCTTTCAGAATGCAGAACAATATGCTCTGTTGCAGTCTGCCTTGCTTGCACTGTATGTTCTCAGTGATTGTGTCAGCACTGGTTTTCATCATCTCAGGCTCCTGTTCCCATTGAAAGTCTGTTGGTTGAATATTTAACTCCTGTGCCTGAGGATGGTGAATATTGATGGAATAGAAGTACTTTGTTCCATGTTTAACCTATGTGTTTAAAACCAGCTTTGATACCAATGCAGTTTTCAGTATCCTATTTACTCCTGTTTCAAGACTCAATTAACAGCGTTACCTTTTGCATTAAAATTATTATTAAATCTAGTATTATAAGTGGACCTTAATACTATTTTTATCTACACCAGCACAAATCTTGTGCAAATCTGAAAGGTTCCGTTTAGGAAGTTTCTTCTTAAACCCCTTTGTTTTATGAGGATTGGTGTGGATGTCTCAAATGCCAAAAAAACCATGTATAACTGGGATGCTTTTTAAATATTTGTGACAAACTATTCAGCTTCTTTCCATTGCTTAGGAAGGGAATGTGATGTATGATTACTTGAGCTGCTATAATCCAGAAATAATTTTGGTATATTTTTATTCTTATTTTGATGATTGTGAGCAATTGGATGAGCATCCTTGCATTTGGGTAAAGTTTGTCAATTTAGTGTGTGTCTCTCAAAGCGGTACCTTGTTTTGTAAAAATAAGTCAACTTTGTTTCACTAGACCCATGCTTTTTGTGTATAGAATTGTTTATCACTTACACAGATAGTGATATTTATGTTGTGTCAGGTCAGTATATTTAGGAGAAAGAGACAGGTGACATCAAAATAAGGAAAGAGCACATAGCAAACAGCTTGTTTGAATTCTTGAAAAAGTTGAAGGTTTATGTGCTATTTACATGTTGTAAGCATTCTACATAAAAGCTACTTTGCACCATCTATTCTGTTAGATACAGGTTTTAAAAGCAAAAGCTTCTGGTGGTGTTTGTGGTGCTCTGAAAATTGCAAGTGATGGGAGTCTTGAATTGCAGTAGGTTTACAGTTCTACCTTATTGGATAGCACTCCCACTTCTATTGGTTGTCCTCTGTTCTTTCCAAAATTACTCCAGAATGTTGATCTTTATAGTCAACAGTTAGATGAAATGGCAGTGAAGTGTAACATAGTAAGCTTCCTGCCTTTTGCCACCAACATTGAGACTGGCTATGGAAAAAAATAACTGTGAAGAGCAACTCCAGTGACCAGTTCTGAGTCAGTCTGTGTCTAGACTACTAAATGAAACATGCCTGGAAACCTTCCTGAATGCTTAAGGCCAGCTGGCACAAAAGGGCCTGTTTGTGCTGGTGTGTGCTCACCCACTAAAGCAGAGTCTGCATGCAAACCGTCAATTTGAAGGGTTCTCAAACCTTTTCACTGCTGAATAGTGCCTGGAAATTGGCTGGGAGACTCTGGGTTGATGTGGGCCAAAAGCATGCCAGGGAGTATTTTAACAAATTAGTGGTTGTCTCTCAGTGATGAAGAACACTTCCTGACCTTGCCTTCCTTTTCTTCTCACACTTTTCTTCCTGTTGGGAAGCTGGTGAAAGAAAATAATAAAGTGTGTCTTCTTACTCTTGCTTAAAACTTTTCTATGAAAGAAGCAGTAGCTCTTAGTGCAGCACTGCTTCACTTGAGTCCAGTTTGTTGCTAGCTGATACCTCTAGAAGAATGTAGGAGAAGGGAGTGGAGCCTAGGAGGAGTGTTAAAAGGGTTTCAGATGTCCTGCTGACTTGGAGGAATCTGGATGTTTTGCTGAAAGGTCTCAAAAGGTTCTTTTATTTTTAAAAAGAGTCCATAAAATACTTAAGTATTTTTTATTGGAGAAGTTTCATGTAGTGGTGATAGTATATTAAAGGGAGTAGTTGTTTCAGGAGTGCAGTATGAAAGACTGTTTTAAGGTGATAAGTAATTGTCTTATCTAATGTTTTCACAACATGCAGGAAGAGAACCATAGGCTTGGTAGACCCTCCTCATTTAGAAGAAATTAACGAAGATAGTGTTTAATTTGAACATGTAGTAATTTTTGGTTTGCATTTCTATTGTGCAAAATCCTGTATTTTACTAAATGTTTTTGTTAATTACAAGTCTGTTTACTTAGTGTATTTACAAAATAGGGAATGAGCACAAGTTTCATAGGCTGTCCTTAAAACTTTCTAAAGGTCATCCCCAATGCCCTCACTTAATCTGTTAAGACTTTATTTTACATGTACACTTTCATCATTTATTTTTACAGAGGATGACAAATAGCAGCAGCTCCCCTAGCCTTCTCAATGACAGTGCCAAGCAGTATGCAGGCCATGGTAAGTATGTTTAAAGGAATACATATAAAAGTATGTTGGAAAATTTGAGAGATTCACAAAACTGAGGCTTAAGGAAGTGTTACTTGTTCTCAGATTTTGAGATACAGCAGAACTTTATTTTTTAAGAGTAGTGTAATGAACTCATAAATTTTTAGCCTTCTATTTGCTGTGGGGGAAAAACTTAGTTGTTATCAGTCTTGTCACTTAAGTGAAATGTTAGTTTGCCTATCCACTGTAAAGCATTAATAGCCTAAGCATTTATGTTGCTTCACTATAGTATCCCTTTTTATGATGCTTCTTGGATAAGTTATTGTGTGGGATTATTGTACAGGTGTTTTCTGTTAAATTTAGGGTGTGTGCATTTTGTGAAATGCCACATAACTGCTGATTTTTAATAGCTATTCAGTTTTGTCTTGCAGGCAGTACTTTGCCTCTTATAATATTTTTCCTTGCTCTAGGAACATGTTTTATATACATGGTTTTCAGCTGAAGAAAATGTCTTGATATTGGAGGCCTATGTACTCACTAAATTGTTGTGGAGGCTGTATTGAGCTTTGTAATGTGCTCTTCAGAATCACTACAGACTATTTCAGCTGTAGCTGTTAAATTAAGTTCTTTAAAGAAGAGGGTACTGCTCCCTTATGGCAAGGACATACATTTGAAATAAATTTCTGCTTTGGAAATTGCGATGTAAATTGTGCTAGAACTCCATTTGCATGTCTGACCCTGCAGCTAATCTACTTACTAGGATTATAATTTTTAAAGCATGGTAGTAACTACAATAAAATGAGCTTGCTTGAAAGTCAGAATTTGTAGGTATTTTCTTCCCAGTTTATTTCCAGTAGGCTTTGAAATTAACTCTGCTTCTTTTGTCCCACTGAACAATTAGCCATTCAAGGCAGTGGAGGTCTCCAGTTCTAAATGCAGTCAGAGTTTGACTGTGACAGGCCAAATAGTAACGGTGATGCATGTCAAGGAGAGAAACCACACCAACTTTTAGAACCATTTTAAATTTTGTCATGTCTCACATCCTTCCCCCTCTCTCTCCCTGGCTCTGCCAAGCAGTGCTTCATCTGTAGAATTGCCCTTTTAGGGAATATTTATTGTTGAATAAATAGAAGATAAATTCTCTGTTAAGAATTTAATGTTAAAGAAAGTGTTTCATCACAACACCAATGTTTACAGCTGGCAGTCATCTGCTAATTTGACAGTTTTAGTCATGTAGTTTGGAGTTTTAAGTTGCATCTGTGAATGTTACAGTTTTTGATACTTCAACTCTGGAAAAGATGAATAGGAACAAAGGAAAAACAAAAAGTTATTAATAGAATGTTGACTTCTGCTGTCCTTCATTCTGATTTAAATTTGATGTGCAGAACAGTGACAGGATGAGCAAAATTTACATCATTATTTGTAAGACCTGTTAAACAGAAGATTGATAATTTGAGGTAACTGGAGATCTTAGAATCATAGCACCTTTTATGCTGGAAAAGACTTTTTAAGATCCAGTCCAGCTTGTCCCAGCGCTGCCAAGTGCACTGCCAAAGCTTTCCCTCAGTACTACATTTACACAATGCCCCTAGGGATGGTGACTCATGCACTTGCCCTGGGCAACCTGTTCCAATGCTTGTCAAGCCTTTCAGAGGATCTTCTGGTGAATTGGAAACATTGTAATGTATCATCTACAGGGTTAACAATGACTTGCAAATGTAAGGAGCACTTAGAACAGGTTTTCTGATCAGATGAAGGCTGTGAAATGTTAGGTGGCCTTTAAATAGTGTCAACAGCAATTAAACATACTGAATTCTGTTAATGAGCACCATTTCAATTAAGCAGTTGCACAGAATCTAATAAATGCTGAGAGTTTTAGCAGTGTGATTGCTAAACTTAGCTTTGTCAAAAGGATTTTTTCCACACAGAAATAAGTTAAAAAATATAAAATTCCTTTTAGTAGTGTATATATAAGTAACACCTTGGTTTTACATTGGTTTTATAGATCCACTAACTTCACCAAATTCATCCTTGTTTAATGACTTTGCTGCCCTCAGCGTGTCTCAAAGGAGGAAGGTAGGCAACAACTAAATCATAAGTAGCATATTTATGTATGAGTTGACAGGGAAGAAGGTCTGGAATAACTTGAAATGCTGCATGAAATGAGGATAATTCTTCTGATGCTACTAGATTTATTTTAATGTGTTGCTGCTGATATTATTTATATCTTACTACTTCATTTTTGCTACATCAGATCAGACTGCTGCTGCTACTAAGAAATACTCCAGGCACTTGTAAACTGAAGTTTATAGAATATGAAACTTGCCCATTATGTAGTATGTAGCGCATTGAATTTGAAAACGAATTATTTTTATTCTAGTAAGGGACATATTCCCTGCAAGCCTTTATGGGAGCAAGTTCAGAATACGTTAAGAATCAATTCTCCCATTTATTTGTACGTTATGCAATAATAATTATAATATATAATAATTATATTGCAGTTTGAAATGCATTTAGGTTAAAAGACACTGTTATCATTGGGAAGTGAGGGTTTGGGGCTTTTTTTCCATCCCTCTGATTTGTATTGAGAAATCTTCCTTTTGCTGAGGGCTAGGCAGCATCTTCAACATCTTTGACCTGCAGCTGTGCAAGTTGTGGTGTTTTCCAGTTATACACTCAGTGGCTGAAATAAGAGACAAAAATTTGATTACATGAGTTTCGTCTCATTTTCATGAACTGTCACTTACCAAAACCAAACATTATCTTATCCAAACCAATTATTAAGTTTCATTTTCACTGATGACTTTCATGTTCTACTACTTATTAGCCACGTTATCCCGAGCTTTCCTGTAGTAAATAATGAAAGCAAGCTACGTCAGCATGTTCTATATTATTCCTGCAGGTGAAGATTGAGCTTAAAGATAATTGCTATAGTTGGTCCATCACACTGTTTTTTAAATATAAATGCTGTTATTGAACATTAATTTTCTAATATTATGATGTATCCAAACCATATGGAGTATCTGCATTGCTCTTTTCCTTAATGCCAGTATAGTGCGCTGAAAGTTGGATGTAAAGAACTATAAATGTGTTGCTTATCCACTTGCCAAGGATGGTAAAAATGAAAAATAATTGTATATTCCTCCTTAACACAGGCATTGAGAGCCAATATATACATATATGTCTGTATATACCTTGGTGTAAAGTTGTGCTTGTGTATGAACCATATGCACCAAAGAAAATAAGCTGTCAAACAGAAGTATTGCAAGAATGACCACTGTCTCTAAAAATACTTCAAAGTTAAGCAGTACAAAGTGAAACCAACCAATTAATGTTTGCTTGTAAAGCACAAATACCTCAAAGCTCAAATAGTATTTCAGAGTGCTTTTTGACTTAATGCATTCTTTCCTCAAGAAAAAGAAACAAATAAAGGCACTGGCTGCTAAAGTAGTGTTAAGAGTAAGTTTTAGCTGTGAAATTGATTAATTTGGGATTTTTTTTCTAGTTAGCATTTCGGCTATAACTGGCATTAATTGAAAGGGGTTTGTATTTTTCTTTGCATATTAATTTGTTTTTTGTTATGACTGCTATTTTATAATGTATGCTTGTATTAAAGGTTGTTAAATACTAGTAATGGGGAAGTTTTGATAAAATACTACTTGAGCTGTATAAATCTAGGCATCCAGGCTCCCTCTATAGTCAGCACAGGGAGATGAGTCGTTTAAAGAAACATTTAGCTCTCTCTGAGAAAAATACTTAGGAAATGACCAGATGTTGGTGATTGCTTTAAGTGGACAAAAATTGATGGCTGAAGTTATGAGAAATTAATAAGTTTTGTGACTGACTTTTGCTGCCAGACAATACATTGCTAGTAGTTATGATGTAGTTTTTAAATATTTTTAGTATTTTTATTACAATATCCAAATTGTCTGAAGTGATTTCCTTAAAAGCACTAAAGGCTTGAGAGTCAGGTATTTAAAACCTTGTGTGATTCCCCTCTACCCCATTAACTGGAGTTTTTTTAGAGCTTGAACAATGGGGTTTATTAGGCCAGTGCTTGGTGCCTGCTGTATGAAGGGAGCCTTGGTGACTAGTTCAAATGTACATGTTTACAACATCTGCTGTTTGAAATAGTCTCCATTATCTTAAGAGCCCCAGTCTAAGGTTTTGTTTGTTCTGAACCAGCTGGCAAAACCAGCATTTCCTTCGTTCATCACTGACTTGGAGGACAGATATAATACAGTCTTGGTAAGTGAATAAAGAATAATTGCTTTTCTTTAAAAATATCACAATTCTAATTTGTAATATTTTGAAGTATTAAGTTATTTGGAGCTATGAAGAACTGCATGTTTGTGTTGGGTAAAACTGAATAGTTTCTGTAAAAGCATGTACTATGTAGTTCTGTTAAGCATGTTTATTGTCTATGGATATTGCTGATCATGTTATGTGGGCAGCCCTTTAATAATGGGCAAGCCATGGAGAAATATTCGAAATCAATAAAATACTAAACATAATTTGATGATTGTAATTTTGAATATCCTTACTTTTTAATTAGACAGTATTTTTGAAGCTAGTTAGTATGACTGAGCTATTTAATTTGCTTTTGATTATTTGATGTTTAGAGCCATTCTACTTGCTGTTCAAAAAGTAAACATAGTCTTGAATTTTTATGAACATTCTTGAGATAATTATCTCTGTTTAGAAATTATTAAACTGCATTTCAATTTTAGATTTCAGGAAAGCTAAGATTACTGTTTAAAGACATTTTTATAGGATACTTAAAATGAAATCAAAGGAGCTAAGTATTTCTGTAGATGGAGCCTTGGTGGAGGTTCTGTCAACTGTAAAACCTTCTGGATTTACTGTCCGGTTATTGTAACTCCACATGCAGTAAGACAAGCAACCTTAAAGTGAATTTCCTATAAGAGATTTTTAGGTAAGTATTAATCTACAATGCACAAATAGGATTTGTGAAGCATGGAACAAAAGCTAGAGTTAGTAATTGACTAACACCCTTTCCCAAGAATAATGATGTCATGCTTATTTCATTTTTTTTCTTCAAATACATGTTATGCTTGTTAAAAATAGGGTGGCATTCTGAACTTGAACTTCCCAGATGTTTTTCCCAAGTTGACTTTAGGCATTATCTAGAAAAGTGCTCCTCTCTAAACCTGAAATGATCAGTTTGGAAAAGTTCTTGCTTTCATTTTGGTGCTTCTGGTAAACAGTTCATAAAAACTTGTGTGACATAACTGATCAGAATCTGCTGTCAAGGACATGATGGCTTAATGTACTAAGATGAAAATATATTATGAAACTTTTGTTTAGAAATGTTCTGAGACTGTTGCCACCAATCCGGGCTAAAAGGTTCCTGTACTTGTCACTGGTCAGCCTTACAGGATAGTGAAAAGCATTTACTTTTACATTTTTATTTGTTTTTTCATACCTTCAATCCTCATGAAAACTGAACTCTTAAGAAAGGTTTCTAACACTGACTTATTTCCATTTCATTTTTAAAATTGTGTAGTCACATTTAGAGGAGGTCCATTAAGATAGAATAACTTCAATTCACAGGCTGCAAGAGGTGAACTAGTTGCTGTACTGAAGAACTCTATAAACACAATTTTAATGCTGCTTTTTATGTATTTTCAAGAAATTATTTTCTAGAATGCCTTCCATTGGTTTTAGGTGAGTGAAGGCAAGGACAAAAACTCCAGATTAGAAAGGAAAGTATAAGAGATAATCTGAATTGAAGTTCACCCTAAACAGGGTGCAGCTGTTGAGTGCTGTCTGTAGAGATTTACAGCAAGTGAGACTGGACAGCAGACTTAATTAATTTACTTTGATCAGCAGAAATAAATGTGCATAGAGAATTATTTGAAGCAAAGTCTATCTGTAAGCCTAGTCTGCATAAATACAAGCTTTTTAATGAGTATGAGAAGAGTTTGACCTCTGAAGTTAAAAGAAAACAAGAAAGATAACTTCAGGTCCTATAGATATTAAATTCTTAAGATTTAAATGGTTGCTATTTTATTTTTGAGTGTTCTGCCTCCCATCTAGTTTTGTTACCTATTGGGAAGCTGTATTTCTCTCCAGCTTCCAGCTCTATGTTGACACCTCTGATACCCGATCATTATCTAGTTCAGTGGTGTTCATTGAAAAGCTGTATGTGCCATGTTTGGTCTTGCTGAATTTACTTTTAATGAAAATGTGTTGAGACAGTTTCACTTTTCAGAGCCTCCTGCATATGATCTCAGAAGCACAAATCATGTTCTGATGAGTTGAGGGGTAATGATCAAGCATCATGTCACTGTGTTCTGAGACAGCATTATGGCTGCACAGACTCTATAATGTACCTGGACTAAATATATCTATTTCAAACCTAAATTTTTCCTTCTGGGGTTTATGCACCTGTACTGCAGTAATAAAACATTATAGTTGGTGCTAGAAAAAGTTGTTGCAGCAGTGCAGAAGCACTGTGCTTTATGAGAAGACTAATGAATGTTTGTAGGTAGTACCGTGCTCTAAAATGTGTTCCAAGGATGTAATATAATATAATCTGCATTGCATTTTTTCTTGGAATAGTTAGTCATTGGAATTGTTCCTTGGTTGTGTGCTCTTGCTGTCTTGGTTATTACTATTTAGATAAATACGTATTTTTCACTTCTAAGTGTGTCATGAGAGAATATATTTTCTTTTATTTTTGTGTGTGAATTAGTGATCATCATGATACAGAAGTCAAATTATAAAAGCATTTCCCTTTAAAAATATGTAACACTTTCGCATTTTGCTGCCTCATCCTTTTGTGTATTTGAAGTCAAAGAACTTCAAATCTAACTGATATGCTGGATACTTTTGTTTATATTTACAAGCTTTGTTTGATTCTTGCTATGACAAGGTGTATGTAGTCTTCAAGAGTGATTTGCAGTAAAATAATAATTTTTTTTTTAAACTTGTGCACACATTAGTTAAAGGCACTATTTATAGCAGCTAGAAAATCTACCACTTTTGAGAAATCAGCCTATTAAAGACCAGAGTAAAAGCTGCATCAGTCTTTAACCCTCTTACCTATATATTTGGTAACTGTGCATGATTTTCCCACTTTTTGTAAGTAACACAAAAATTTCTGTCCTATTAAAAGAAACCTTTTAAACATTAAGAAAATCGGTGGTTTGCCCATAGTGTTCATTTAGTAGTGGTTTTTTTTGAAAGTATATCTTGGGGTGGTGATACTCTGAGAAGTCTTCACTCTAGTTAGAACTATCTACTTCAATGGTGGTAGAAAAAAGTCTGCTTTTTTTGCAGTTTACATCAAATCAACAGGAGATGTGAATTTCTTAGGGAAGAAGTTGGTTTATATAATTAAATCCATTCCAGGATTTAAAGTTGTGGTAACTCATACCTCATCCCAACATAGCTAGGCTGCAAAATTGGTGAGAAAACATTTGACTTAATTATGTCAGTTTTGCTGCTTCTGAATCTTTAAGATTTTCATGCCTTCAGCATATCTACTCATGAAATAAGCTTTTTTAGTATGTTCACCTGAAAAGTTTCCCTTAGCTATGGTTTAAAATGCCTGATATAGTGCCTGATCTATTGCATTTCTAAAATTTATTTAAACCAAGAATTTTTTTTTGCAGTGATCAGATGTATTGCTCTAGAATAAGACACATTTCCATGCCAAATGTCACACTTAAGTTTTCTTGGGGTTGAAGAATACATCTTATTCTCTCTGTATGATACTTTTCAACTAGTAAAATTCTGACCCCAGCCAAACCCGGGTTTTCATGAGCAATCTGGATGGAACGGTGTCCACCCAACAACAAATAACAGCCAACCACGCAATTATTTTTAGGCTGTTGACCAAGCTCCTATTCAATTTTTTTTATGGATATCAAAAATTAAAAAATTGATTCCAGCCTTCAGAAGGTGAGACACAAAAAACCACAAGTGTGGTCTGCCTGTCTACCAGTGGGAGGTTGTAATAAAAAAGGAAGTGTAGAGGGTATTTTGGTTAGCAGTTAACCCAATCCATGTAAAGGGGTTTTGCAGCTTTATTGGCCACAAAACTTAAACAATTTAACTTCACTGAAAAGACAGTTTTTCATATTTCCATCTTAAAAGTCTGTTTGGATATTCTTGTTGACCATAACTCATGTTCAGGTGTAACACTTAACTGGATTCAGTAATACACAGTAATGGAGTTGTATTCACAATTAAGGTACTGCTTAGCTGATTGTGCCTGTAAAGGGGCTCAATAACATATTGAAGTTCATATCTATGGCTTGGTGTTTCAAGTACTGGATTGTTCCAGCTAATCAATTAGTGGGTGAAAGTAGCAATAATGACACCAAGAACTTCTATTTTTGTTTTAAAGGCATAATAAAACAGAAATTGCTCCTTTTTCAGTAGACTAGCTGCCCAGCTGAGTGTTTAACCTGTTTTTCTTATGGCCTCTTAGCCATTAATTTAAAAAGATAAAGGCTTTCAGAAGTCAGCATTGAAATTTAAAATTGTGTCTCACATAATTTTGGTAGTCCAGTAAGTAGTACAAGAAGAATTTGAGTGAGTTTGTGTAGCTTTTTTAAATTTTCTGTGTGAGAATGTGATTTTTTTTTTTTTTCATATGTGCAGATAGAGTCAACTCACTGTACAACAGATGAGCCCTAGCCTAGCTACTGTGACATCTTTTAGCTATAGTAATTTAAGGTAATGCTGCTTCATTTAGCCTGTGATGGAGAAGGCTTAAGATGACTTCTATTTGGTTTGATAGTAGAAGCATATAGACAGCATTACCACAGCTCAGAGTCTTCACGATACTTTGAAACACAATAGCCTGCTCATGTGTTTGTATGCTAGACTTAATTGGGTATGTTTTGGTACTAAAAAGGGCTTGTAAATATAAAATTTAAAGCCTGCTAGAGGTAAATGCATTTTAAGGAACAGACATGTAGTTTGGGACCTGAGTGATCCTAAAAAAAGTAAGTTGCTGATCTTCAGTAGAAGAAAACTTTGCAGTTGTGTAGTTTGATTTGTCAGGTTATCTAGACTTAAATACTGCATGAAAGTCTTTGTAGTTTGAATATTTGTAGATATTTTCTTGCATAAATTTATTCCTCTAGGGTAGCCACGGAACATCTTACACTAGAGGTCAGTTTAATCCTGAATTAAAAAAGGGAAATGTGATATTGCCCACTGCCCTTGAAAAAGGAGGAACTGGGGCAAAGACACTGTTACAACAGATAGTAGGAAGAAAATAGAGCTGCTGAACACATTCCCAAGGTTCTTGCTGAATGAATGAGGACCAGGTAATTAAACTGACTTGAGGAATACTTTCTAGCATGGGCTAGTGAAGTTAATCATCATTACTAGTGTTTTCTTCAGTAGTGAAGATGCTACTTAGGAAGGACTTGTTTCTGCAGTGTCTCTTGTTTCAAGTGTGATGTTTTTCAGACTTTTGGGCTTTATCTTTCCTAATAATTGTGCCAACCAGTAGGCTCCTATCATTAATTGCTGGCAGCAGCTTGGTTCTGCAGGGCAAGGGTTATAATTATTAGCTATGGTTGAAAATGCTTGCCCTTTTCACCCTGGGGGAAACTAAGCTGTTGCTAGCAATTAAAGGTAGTTAGCTGTTCCCTGCCTCATGTAAACATTTGCAGCCAGTAATTACTACATCTGAACAGGTTTTTTACCTCATAGACTGTAGGGAACGCAAAAAAACCCAATTGTTTTTGTAAACATCCAAGAGAAATTGTCCCCAGGCATAAAAGTTTGGTTAATTAGTCCAGATTGTCATGCCCTCTCTGTTTTAGGTAGATATATTTACATACTTATGTATATATATATATATATGTTCAGAAATGATCAGTGGTTGATGAGTTCTTGCTCATTTTAAGGTGAACTGTTTGTGTTGATTTGTTTCCTGCTCTGTGTAGAGGTCAGGGATATAGGAAGGTTGATACACTTACTGAAACTTCTCGATCTATTTGCTTTCCCTTCTCTTGAATCTCTCCTTTTGACAGATACTGTTTTCTGATTACCTTTAAATTCAGATTGCATTTCTAAATCAGATCCAAGTTTGCTCATTGAGAACAAGTGTTACTTAGAATTACTTCGGTGCACACAGACTAAAATTTATTTTCAAATGTTAATATTGTCTATTCCATCTTCTAATGTCTGTCTAAATAATGAAATCTTGACCTAGTAATCCCCTAATGTTTTATGATAAGTAATGAAAGGAAAAAGTGTTCCTTTAGATTCATCCCATGCTTAATTTCATTTTTTAATACAAGTAAGTAAAGAACTACTGAAACGTGAATTCATATTGTCTCTGTATGATCTTTCATAAAGCCTAGAATACAGTTTCATCCTGTTGTCTGGAATCTGAATCCTGTTGTGATCAAAATAGCCTTCTTCCACGTAGACTTATTTCTTCTTTTGTTTTGGTTCTCCTTTTCAAAATATTTGTAGACAGCCAGTTATTATGGAAGATTAGAAGAACCCTTTGTGAATGGAAGTATGTTTGGGCATTGGCTTGTAGTCCAATAGTCTGAGACAGACTGTGCCCCTGCGCTGGGTAGAGCATGGGGGGAGAGAGAGAGAGGGGAAAGCTTCTGGGGAAACTGTTACTCTTCATTATATTGTTTCCAATAGTTGGTCTAAGAAAAATTACATACTGTATTCAAACCCTGCCCTAAAGTCCAATCTTGCTTGAATGTCCAGCTTCTCAGCTCTGATGGCTTTGCAGGTTAGGATTTTAGTAGTCTTTCTGACTTACCTCTTTACTGAGATAAGTTGCCCAATAGTTGAGTGTTTCTCCAAATAAACAACAAATATTTAGATCTACCATGATCAGGTGTGTGTTTGAACTGCAGGAGGATTTTGTGCTACCCATCACAGATTTCTAATTGGTGTGCTAAAATTCAGTCTTTTTTATTGTTGCTAAGTTTGGTTAACTCCTCCGTGGAGTTTGCCTTTGGTAGTTCATAGTCCATGTTGGTATCCTTGGGGGTTTTGTTGTTTTCTTTGTGGGTTTTGCGGGTTTTTTGGAGGGGTTGGTTTGATTGGGTTTTTTGGACAAAGTTACTGTTGACTCTACTGAGTTTTAATTATTTCCAAAGTTTTCAGCCTAAAAGGTTCCAGGGAAGTAGAGAAGAGAATATATTCAGGTTTTGTTTTTGCTACCATTTTATGGTAGTTTTGTCCTGTGTTTTACGAATTGTTTCTGTGTGAGTGGGAAATCTTCTCCAGTTAGATTGTTGCCTTGTTTCCTGAGGTATAGTTTCTAAAGTGTGTATGAAGGTATATGTTGCTAAGATTTCTCAAGTGCTAGGTGAAATAGATACCTGAACAAAGGTAAGTTAAGCTTTGATTACTTAGAATGATCTATATCCAGATGATAGTTACACTGTCACATAAAAATGCCCAAACAAAATTCCACAGTAAAAGAATACTAGCCAACCCCTGCAATTTGATCCAATTGTTGATATAATTAGCATAAAAGGCCCTGATCTAAATATGCGCAGATGTTAAAACATTTCTTTTGGTGATATTTTCTATCTAGGTAGATACACATAGGTTTGAAAGCACAGAGAAATCTTGAAAACTTCTGTACTTTACCTGTTTGAAAGTATTTAACAGATTTTCTTTTTTACAGTGTGCCTTTTGAATTTAATGTTCATATCATTCTTTATAAATAGCTCAATTTGTAGAGATCATTGCCAATGTAATAGAAATGTCACTGTTAATGAGGTGCAAGTAATTCCTGCATGTTAACTTCCTCAAATGTGTTTTATTTTCTCATTTTTATGACAGCTCCCAATGCATTTGTCATAGTAATTCTTGTCTGTTTTCACTTAAGACAGTAGTGGAAATTATTTTTTTTAAGTTCTAACCCAAGCAGAAGTATTTTTCTCAGAGTTCTGCTGCAATTGGCTACTCAGTTCTACTTGATTTTTAAAAGCAAATTTTCAGGAGATGAGTCATGTCAAATTTGAATTTAAGATTTGTTTGGTAGAAATTTCAAAGGAGGTGTTCATTATTATGATGTGATTGAAGGTATTTATTTTGAAAACATGGATTTTTTTTTTAAAACAGTTTCTCATTTGGACAGAATTTCCAAATTTATGTGCATATTTCAGTGGCTGACTTGTAATGGATGGATTTGCTTACAAATAATTAGTAGTCCCTGAAGTTTATTTTCTTTTAATTTTTTTAAAGCATTGTTTATTGTAACCAAATAGTCAGGATTGAAAGGAAACAGTCTCAGTTAAATTTTACTTGCAAATTGTTTCCTATTCCACCAATCCAGAATCATATCGCAGTGTAATACTTACTTTAGTGTAGCTTTAGATGAGGGTTGTTAGGAGTGGCCTGGTTTCTCTCCTTCTTTTTCATAGCCCAGGAAGTATCGACTGGGAATGCTGGATGAGAGGATAGTTCCGGTGGGATCAAAAGCAAGAAAATCAAAGAACCCTATTGGCTGTCTGGCTGACAGGTGTAAAACAGGAGTACCCATCAATATGGTTTGGTGGAACAGAGTCACAGAAAACAATTTACAGGTAAAATTATTTTTTACTAGTAATTTTTTCAGTATTTTGGATGTTTATTTTCAATTCTGGAAAATGTTAGAGTTACTCAAAGTATGAGTTAAGATCAAAGATTTATTTCACGTGATAGACATAGTGGTCCTTTAAGAGAGTGATTTGGAGATATTTAATTAGCTTCACCCATTGTTGAGCTATATACGTTACTTGATTTTGGTATAATCCGAGGAGAAGAAGTGATCATTTAATGTATTCTAAAAACAAACAACCACAATCTTTTAATTCTCACCTGAGGAGGATTTCTACTGGTAAAATTAGTGATTGTTGTTAAAATGATTGACACAATGCAAGTAGATGCCCTTAGTACAGCATTTGAAGACATTGCCATCATGATCAGGAAGTATAAATTCTTAATTTTTATGTTGGGGTAGTTTATACTTCTCAACTTGTTTTGAGAAATGTATGCTACTCTTACCATTATTTAACTTTATGCCTGAATCTTCTTCAGCTCTGTAAGAGGGGGGTGGTACAGCTTCATTTGAATATCTCTTTACCAAAGTAGTAGGTAATGCTTGGGATGAAAATGAAGAATAATTCTAGCCTAGAATTGTCCCTTAAAGTGGAGTTTAGATGGAAATTATTACAGTGGTGGGAACTGTACCACTGCTGCTAATACTGTTTTTACTTGTGTAGTGCTTTTGATTCCTCAGAGATTGTTATTTTAGTCTTCCTATGATGGTTGTGTTATTTTTGGTGTTTTCTAAGTGAATGAAGTGGGTAAATTGATAATAGACTTCTAATTAGAACTTGTGTCACTTCAGGATTTTCTTTCAGTTCACTGAATTTCTGCCATGTGAGGGCCAACATGATGCTTGTACAAGCTCCTTTCCACACTGATACTAGTTTTGTGTTATTTGATGTTTGGACATCTTTGTTACTGAAATGAACAGTCATGGGCAGCGTGATGTAGGCAGCATGATGCTATGTTGTTTAGGGACATTTGGACCTTCAGTCTGTCTTAGCTCTTTTGCTGCTGGGGAAGCAGCATAGTCACTGATGGAGAAAAGATGAAGCTTAAAGGAAACATTAGTAGAAGGACCAAGTAAGCTTGAAGGACAGTGGTGAGAGCCTGTGAAGCAGTACTGTTTTGAAGGGAAAGAAGATTGACAAATTGAACTTACTGTGTGTATCTAACACTGAATGTAAGTTGTAATTAAAGACAGTTGTTTCGAGAAGAGAGAAGCAGAAAATTGGTCTTTAGTTGTCAGGTGGACATTAATGGGCAAAAAAAGTTCTGTTTGCACTCCTGTCCTCTGTTTTCTTGCTGTGCAGTGATGCAACAAGCTTTGTTGTTAATCTACTCCATTTAGATTAGACGCAAAAGGACTTAATGCTTTTGGAGGCTGGAGAGGCAGTGGTCTGAACCTTGAAGCTTCTTGCCAGGAGCAGGTGTCTTCTCAGTACCTGTGCACTCTGAAGTGGTGTTCAAAGTGTGGCACAGGGAAGGAAGCTCAAGGACTCCATGCTTTCTGAGGTTGGCAGTGTTTGGGACTGGCTGCAGAGCACATAGCTTCTGAAGGGTACAGTTCCAGGCTCCTTTATTGCACCAGAATCCTGGCTACATAATTGATTTAAAGTATGTGTGGCTTAAGATTTTGCATTACATGATACAGTTTTATTGCTTCCCATGGAGATGTGGGCTTTAACAAAGCATGTATGAGCACATGTGGTGGAAATATGAACAGAAGGATGTGCCAGCCATAATAAATAGAATTGGAGGAGAAACAGGAGGGATTGAGAGCAACTGTGGAGTCTGGCAACACTGAAGAAGGAAAGGTGTTAAAACTTGCATTGTAAAATAATTTAACTGTTACTCCTGCACGGCTATGAATTCATAGTCCCGATCTGTTTTGTTTAAATATGGTGTTACACTTACATGATTAAAAGTGAAGTCTGCAGAGTGAGTTGAGCTATGGGTTGTGTATTAAAAAAGAAAAAAACCCAAATCAAAGTTTGTTTTATAGTGATGTATCCCACCTTATATTAGGAAATGTCCTGAGCTACTATACTACCACATGATATATATTATAATAGCAAATGGTAATCCTCCTTAAAATAGTACTATCGATACATTTTAGTCATGCAGATTAGTTCTTACTCACCATCACTAACTGATTCTTTGTTTCTTAAGCAAAAAATAATCATAGAAATGAATTTTTTCAAGTATGTTGCATTAGGATGATAGACCTTTGGAATTCTAGATATTTTTACAGTACTTTGAAGGATTTTTGTTAAAGAAACATGAAAATATTCCAAATCTAATTTTAAAGTTTATTTTTTAGTGAATCTACTTGCCAGTTGTAACAAGACTTCACTAACAGTTTTGTCTGAGCCTGTATTCTGGTTTATAAACCAGTAAATCTTTAGCTATGAAATTTTACCCAGTTTTAATGCAATTGACTCTTAATTCTTCTGCAAGAGCAGTAGAGTAACATAAATAATAATGTTGGCAAACTGAAATTTATCAGAGCCTATTGTTAGAGTGATGTGATGACTTGTCACAGTAATTATAATAACGTAGCATGTTACACAAATTCAATGGTGGGATAGAAAGATTTGCTTTGAAGTCCTTGGCAACCTCCCATGTCTTCTGAGTTGCTCTGACATCACAAAATGCATCCTTTCCTGATGTCATGGATCTCAAGGAATCCTTGGAGGAATATATCCTCATATAGAGCCTCTGCCCATTAAAAAACAACAAAGAAACCCCAAATCCCAACAACAACAAAATAATGTTAAGCTCAAGAAAGACTTCTGCATGTTTCTTTATTCCTAAGAGATACTATGAAAACTGTGCCAAAAATAGACTGGTAAAGGAGTGCCCTGCTTTATAGCATGGTTGTGGGTTAGTGGTGGTTTTCTGTAACCGTTACACGATTATGTAATTTGGGATGTCAGAACAGATCAGCATAAATTTGGAAGTGAAGGAGAGCATAAAAAGAGAACAAAGAAGCTTGTATCCAGTTTCTAGCATGGTAAGTACATTAGCACATCCTTCTGAAATCAAATGAGATTGGCCTACTTTTTGAGTTAGGTAGCTGGCTTTGGGCTTTGGCTGAATGCGGAACCAGAACCAAACTAATGAAGCTTGGCCTCTGAAGCTGATGTGGTGTCTCTGCTGCTGCTGTACAGCTGTGTTGAGAGATGCTGAATGAGAAATGAGAGAGAGCAGTGGTTTCCAGTATTCCTGTGGGATCCCTGCATGACTTGCCAAAGGCTTCATAACTTGTACATCCCTGTATTCCAGCTCATTTCTGTACTTAAAGGCACTTTGAGGATTCATTTATTAATTAGTGCAGCAGCGGGGCCTTACAAGTTTAACAGTGAGGAGCATAAAGACAAATCATGTGTATCAAAGTTCGTAGCTGATGAAACAGTAATTTTGATTTTATTTCTGGATTACAGAAATCTGTTATATACAATGCCACATGCTGCTGTGTAGTCTTTTCAGTGATGGTCTTCAGCCTAGATCCTTGGCTTGCTCTTTGCTTTCATCTGTACATTCTTTTAAGGACCCTTGAATTGTTTTGGAGTGGCTTTTTCTTATTGTACTCATAGAATATTTTGTTTCTTCCTCTCCATTCTATTATTTTCATTTTATTTCTTTTTAATGCCTGTAAAAGCATAAAAGCCACCAGACAAATTCTGAGCTGACTGGTGACACAAATGAGTAGTTTAATAGTCCTGGCCTCCTTTTGTACTTTTTTGGTTCCATTTTTAGTAATTGCATCGTGGCTAAAATCAGCCTTCATTTGGACTGTATTTATATGTGCTTTATAAAAAGTGTTTTTTCACTCTGATATACTGAAGTGTAGGAATTGTTTTTGTAAGTGGAGCTGGATGGACTCAGTTTTGCGGTCTGTCTTTGGAAGTGTCTTTGCAAAGCTGACTGAAAAGAGGCATGGACATAAAGAATCTGAGAACAGGATATTTAGATGGAATTTCTTCATGGAATCATTCTGAGAATGTATGATGTATGAATTCAGGTAATAATTAGGGAAGTTGCTTTACTGCTTTAGTTTGACAGCATCTTTGTTAATATACTGGAAGAAGAGGGATGACATTTCAGTTGGCAAGGCTGAGAGGAAAAGGGAGTGATGGCAATTTTAGCAAAGGTATCAGAAGTCACCTTAGGTGGTTTGCTAGAAATGCATAACATAGCTGACGCAGCTGTACTTCCTTCTCTTTTATGTTGTTTATTGAAAACATGTTGATTAGCATATTGAAATTTTGTGTGTGCCTTTTTATGGGACATGAACATTTGCAACTGAAATTAGATTTATTTAACACAGTGCAGACAGTGCTAGTAGGCTTTTTAAAATTGTTTTGGGTTTAGAAGTACATTTGCTACTTTTTAACATCCCACTGTTGCTTAATCATTACATGATTCTTGCATGTCCATTTTTCGGGTTACTCTTGGAAAATTAATAAGAGTTTTCAATACCCATTTTCTCAATGTATTTTACCAATTCCTGATTTATTCTTAAAATTTTAAGCCTCATCTAGCATGAATAAGTTACTTTATTCTGAGATTAATAATTAATTACTAGTTAAATGAAATTTGTTTAAAAGCTGTACTTGTGCAAAATTTAAACACAATACAGAATGAAGAAAATGTTTTCATTAAGAAGATCTAGATTATTTTAATTCTTACAAAAGTTTAATTTTTTAATGTCATCTTGTGAAGTTTGGTAGGACTCTAAAAAAAACTGTGAGAATACTCTGTCGGGTTCTAAAGCATGATTACCATTTGAAAAGATTTTCAAGCTTACTATTGATCCAGATGTAAAGCTAAAACTGGAATTTATACTTTGTATTATGAGTTGACAGCGTGAAAGTAGGATATTTTTTCAGGCCAAGAATATAATACTCTGAATCATTGGCCTCTAAGAATGTGGTTTTCTAATTCTGGCATATTTGCATGGCCATTGCTGCAAAATGGTTATCTACAAAGAGTCAGAACTAATTAAGACATTAAATATTAAAGAACTAATATTAATATTACATTCTCTCAATTAGTTTAGTCACTTAATCTGGCCTCATTATTTTAATTATTTTCATGAAAGAAAACTCTTCAGAAAAAATAATACTTCAGATAAAATGTTTTCAAAAGCATAAAAGTTTTTAAGAACTGCAGCTTCACATAGATGTAATGAATTTAAATGTGGATTGGGGCTTAAGCTTCAGATAGTCTGACAGTATTTGCTAGTTTCGACCACCAATCACTAGAATTTGCTGTATTACTTTGGTTAGTTTATTCTGGCTAGTGACTGTGGAACTTGAGTATTTTTCTGTATTTAGAAAACAACTTGAAGAAGGAAGGATCTTTTAAATTTGTAACCAAAAGTTAAATCACTTTTTTTACCACTGGGGAAAGTCTTGAATTGCTGCTTCATGTTTGTAGCATCACAGAGAAGTAAAAAAGGCTTTCATAGTATAGAGTCTGTCTTCATAAATCAAAGCTGTTTACTCATATACAACATTTTCATCAAAGTTATGTAAAAACAACTTAATCTTACCAGGCTTTGATGCTCATCCTGAATTGTGATATCTAAAAATGGAATGAAACTGAATTTCCTTCAGATTTGACCCATTGCTGTTTGCAGTTCTACAAAATAAACCAGATCAACCCTAGCAAATTCCTGGGTTTGACTCTTTCACGTGGATAAATTAAAACACCTACCAGTTAAAGTGGAGCTCTTTCTTAAAGTGAAGCTGTATTTAAAATTTTTGATGTTTATAGGTAACTTTTAGTAAGTAAGTATCTTTTTGCAAGTAAGTAACATTTTAGTAAGTAACTTTTAGACATGAAAAATGGTCTATGAAAATTTGTAGAATGTGTTTAGATATAAGAAGCATCTCTGTGCTGTAGGAGTTGTTTGAATCAGTAGGTGAAAATGATAGGAGTTTAGCCAGAATGCCATGGATGGGATTTTGGGAACTCTCTCAGTTGCTCTAGGAAGTCTGAGTTGTCTTCCAGAAGGTGTCTTTTTCTCTGCTTGCTTGCTTCTAATGCCATGCCCCCACCCTTGTCTCCTGGTTGACACAGTATTTAGATGTGATAGGGCTGTGGATGTGTCATTGCTGCTTTTAGCAGTGGAAAAATGTGGATCTTGTAGTTCCTTGGAATTACGTTCTTTTAGCAAGATGGTGCGAATTCTGTCCTTTGCTCTCCCACTTGTTTTGTTTGGTGACTATTTAGCTCTATCACTGTTTGGAAAAGTTGTACTTTACCACCTTTGTAATTTTCTTCAGTTTCAGTGCACATTTCGCTGAATGGTTGCATGACAGTTTTTATCTAGAGGAACACTATTCTTAGTTATTCCTGTACCTAAATTCAGATAAGTCCAGAGTATCACCTTTTGAGTATAAATCTGTCAGTTATGTGTTTTCAGTCTGTATAATTCAACTTATCATTTGTTTTGCTGTATTACTGTATATCTTAACATGTTTTCCTGAGCTGTGGTTAAAGAGTTTTAAAATTCATGTGAACTCTTTACCCATTTAAATGTTTTACTTCACTATCTGCATATTTATTTGTAGCTGTTCCTTCCATATTCAGAAACATGCACTTGTAAGATGACAAATAAGGTGATAGTTGTTATCATAAAGTGGATGGTGGTAAAAATTTACTGTGTGATTAAAGGTAGAATATTTTTGCTATTTGTTTTTAAACCTGGGCATTGTCTTTAATTTTCCAACTTTAATTGTCCAACTTTCCAATTTGAGAACCTTCTTTATCGCTGCATTGAAATACATTAATACTATGATATTTGGCAGCAACTTTGAGAACCTTCTTTATTGCTGCATTGAAATACATTAATACTATGATATTTGGCAGAAATAATCAAATAAAGGTATTAAAACCCAGTTAACAGAAACTGTTCTCAAATACTTTCTTCACTGTCTAAATTGATGTTCACACTTCACTTTTAATTTGGCACTAACTTATTTCTCTGATGCCACTTTATATTGGTAAAATCAATATTGATAATTTAGCTGACAGTTTATATATTTGGTTATTTTAAAATGGCCTGAAACCAAAGTAGTTTTCTGTAAAAAACAATTATGGATTATCTTAACAGTATCCCTTGTCTATTGGGACAATATCTATTGTCTGTTGCTGTCTTCTTATTTTACCTTACTTGTTTAGACACTTTTGAGAGGTACTGTGCAGATTACTTAATAAACTAAATCCTGTAATTCAATAATCTTCAGGATTTTCAGTGTGTTCATGTAATAATTGATTTTATTTCTTGGCTTAATGTAGTTTTTCTTCCACTCCTGTCATGTGTAATTGGCTGTCCAGTGATAAGCTTTTTGCCTTTTGAGCTTTAACTGGGATTTTCTTTTTCTAACCCTCCCTGCCCCAAATCAAACAAAAAGCCTCACCTCAAAACAAATACCACAATCCCAAACTACAAAACTGTCTGCACTGATTTTAATAGAAATTAGCAATGGTCATGTGTTTGTTTTATGTACTAACAAATACTGGATGTTTGGCCATCATTCTGCTTCTGATTTTTTCCATAGCACCAAATTGGACTTTATTATTACGGGTGCTAGATAAATAAAACAGGTAATTAAATCAGAAGTTACCTTCACAAAAAAACGGAACATACCGATCTATTTGAATAGAGGCAGGGTGACTTTTCTAGTAGGAATAATTTTTAATCCTTTATTTTGAAATTGCTAGTTAGTTTGAGATGAAATTGCTGAAGTCATGGGGGAACAGTCTGTGCAGCTGTGGCAAAGCTTTCTCAGTGTCAAGTCCGTTATCCAACTTGTAATGTAATGCTTATGGAAAGCCTTTTGCAAAATGTTGTATGAATTTGTAGACCAGCTGCTCATATGGAAAGTTTGCTTCTAACACTTCAGACATAAGCTAAAAACACGTCTAAATTTGTTCATGCAGACAGCTTCCAGTATTCTTTGTTCTCTTCAGCAAGCTGTATGTACCTTAAAAATACCCCCTGTACTAGTAGGCCTGTCTAGAAAGTATTTTCTACCAAATAAATCCCTTCTCATTTGAAATAAACATTTAATTTATTATTGTTTTTTAAACAGACACCAAATCCTTCTGCAAGTGAGTTTATTCCTAAAGGAGGATCAACCTCCAGGATGAGTAATGTATCCCAGTCAAATATGTCTGCCTTCTCTCAAGCCTTGTTCTCTCACCCCTCCATGGGAAGTCCTGCTACTGCTGGGTTAGCACCAGGTAAGTTGAGAGTAATGATTTCTAGTGCAGAGCTTTGTTTTGTCAAACGTAACCCTATATATAGTTATCAGATTTATCAGGTATAAATGTAGACACCTCCTACTTCAGCTCTTAATTTTAAGGCAATCATTAAAAAGCAGAGGAACTTTGGATTTATATTCCAGTAGTATGGAAATCACACTGCAGGCTGTGAAATCTGCTCATCCACAGCAGCACTGAAATTAATAACTTACTCTGCTCTTTTTGGGGAAAAGGCTTGCTGAGTTACAACATACTGTGGTAAGTCCTAACTGGTTCTTGCCAGAGCAGTACCTGAAGAGGATTTAAACTACCCAATAGTCTAGAAATGCAATGTAGTTTACAATGCATATGATCTTGGTTTACTACACACCAATGTGCTCTTTTTATTTGTTTCTAGACTGTGTGATGTAGAAGTATTTTTTTATTATTAATGAGGACATAAAAATCTGGATTAAAAACACAAAGTAGAAGATAAGCTAATTCTATAATACTGTGCCTTACAAAATAGTGTTAATTTTTATTGTATCTGTCACATGTAATCTCACTTTTAAGACTTCGAATTTATAGTTATTTCCCAGGTTTAAAACTCTTACTGAAATGTGTTCCATGCAGTCATGTAATTGAGTGACAGATTTTTTTTTTTTACACATTTGAAAAGTTCAATCCCTTCATGCATCTTTTAGTCTTCTGATCACAAGGTGTTAACTTAATTCTAATAATGTTGTTTAAATAAAATTAAAGTATTTTAGTATATTTTGTTTAAATAAAATTAAAGTATTTTTAGTATATAGCCATCAGCAAATCTGGATATTTACACTGCAGATTCTTTAATGAGTTTCTCTATATACTTAAACCTCCAGCAGTCTCTTGTGGCTACCAAGAGGCATTAGGTAATTGCCAAAAGGCAGATGGGCAAATGCTATAAATTACTTTTTTAAACATATCTTGGCAATTACTATTTATTAAAATGAACTTCACTCTTTTCTTGATGCCAGTGTCAATGTGAAAGAAGCCAGAATTTAGCTTGCATGTGAAAACATAGCAGAGCAGGCTAGGAAAGTGATTGATACTTCTGCTGACCAAATAAATGAACATGTTGTGGTACTGTCTGCTTGATCCTATATTGTGCTGTACCGTCTTATTGGAAAACTGTTGTGTTTATATGCCTCTCAGCCTTGTCACCTGGATTGAAAAGTGTATAAAGGATTAAATAGAATACAGTAAAATGATCTACTTTTGGAAAGTGTCCAGTGGGGTCTCAGAGGGATCCTTCACAGTCCCATTTCTTTACTATCTGTAAGTAATACTTGAAAGGATAAGTAACACTGATGAAAGAGGTTCACACAACCATTTCAGGTCCTAGAAATAAATGTAGATACCAATGCTGCATACTTTCTAGCCTCAAATACTATTGTTTGTTTATGGACAAGAGGGATGGGGGAGTGTTCATAAGAGGTAACTTCAGGCAGAGTTGGCTTTTTTCCCTGCTCTTCCTGCACAACTGAAATGAAAATATAGTTCAAAGTAGGGACCTTGGTTGGATTCTCTGAATTTTTCTAGAAGCTTTTCTTCTCTCACTGAGTGCTGAATTCTCTGAACCTAAGTGCCCTATGTAAATACTGCTCACAGACATTTATTTTTATTTAAATGTCAACATTAAAGCTGTCAACAGGATCCATCCAGAAAAATTCCTGTTAGCTCAAGGTCAGTTAGGAGGTGCTCTTTCTAGAAAATTAGGCTCTTAAATAAGAAAGCTATATCTTTGTGTGGGGAAACTTCACCACTTAGATCATACTGGGTAACAGAATAAAAAAATACTGAAATACATTCTGATGTTGTCATGAAAAAATGGTTGAGATATGTTAGGTTTCAATAAGTGAAAATAAATTCAAATAAAAGCTGTGTAAAGAGTTTATAAGAATTTTCCTTTGAATAAATATAAATCTCCTTCTAGTTGAAGGGTGCATACTCTCCAGTAGAATAACTTTGCAGATTTAAGTATTTATGTGAGATTAAGATTGCTTATTGTAATTTACAGGGTACTGGAGGAAATCAAAATTTCATGAGAAATAAGGAAATGTAGTAGGAGTATTTAAGTCTTCCGTAGTTTTATTCACCCATAACAAAGTAGGTAAATTATGAAAACAGTCCTTTGATTTCCTTCTTGTTGATGAAAAAAATGTAAGTTCTTTCACATATCTGAGATTTCTCTAAAGGTAGGTGCAAATCAAAACCACTTTTGACATCTAGTATTTCTTGTCCATATTTGTTCTGCCTGTCTTGTTAACCATACTGCAGAAATACTGAAAAATATGACAGGGGAAGTCTAAAATACTTAGTGGGTAACTTGTTGGATCCATGCCTGGCGTATTGATTAGGATGTAGCATGGAAGAAGGTTACTCCTGCATTCACATGTTTACTTATGTAAGTGCCTTCTAGGGTAATCTCAACACAGAGTCATGTTCATCTTGGTGGCCTTTAATAGAGTATGGAAATAGAGTGATATGAAGTGCAGCTTACATAAGTGGTGGGAGAAAATTGTTTCACTGAAGAGTTGTAAACAGATCTCATTAACCATTTCCACACTCTTTTTCCATAAACTCCCCTGAATACTACCTTATTGCTCCTCTTTCCTTGCTAGCAGACACACCCTGTTTGTCGTTTTGTGGGAAATCTAGTAAGAAGTTGACGATCTTCAAATAGCACTTTTGCTTACAAGCTTATCTTACCCAGTCCTGCATAGCTGTATTAGAGTATTAATTTCATTAAAATATGCAACAGAGTGTATGAAAGAAATGAATGAATGTCATCGAAGTGATAAGACATCATTGCTGTGTTGAACTTGAGAGAGAACATATGTATAGCCCCCAGTATTCCAAAATGTTTAGGTTATACCTAAAGAATGATGCCTTTGTCACATCAAATGGAAATGACAGCAAATTGCTGTTGCTTTTATGTTTAGTCCAAGTCAGGTTCTGAGCTATGCAGAATATAGGAGATGCCATTTCTGCTGCCAGTCTGAACCTGCAGGCTTAGGAGCCAGGAGGGTTGAAGGTGTTTGCTTGTGTCTGGTTGACATATCTCCATTTGTGATGAGCTGCAGGAATGTAGTTTTCAGAGCCCACAGCCCCAGCTGGAGATGGAGCACTTTCAGCTGAGGTGGTTTGTGTGGCTGAAGGCACCAAGAGCTTGTTCCAGCCTTCTGGATCAAATATGGTGCAGAGGAAGTTCTGCAGCCATTCCAGAATAATGTAAGAACAGAAGATGGCAAAGAGACTCTACAATTGTCTTTTTTTCCCAATTGAGACTGAAGGGGAAGAATTGATGATTCTAATTATTTAGGGAATGAAGCAGATTTAATTAACTTAAAAATACACAACTGCAATGCTAATGACCTGATAGAGAGCTTACAATAACAAGAAATAGTTAATGAACTTAAGGATGCTACTTTAAGTTCTTGAAATAATCTGGTATTATAATTTACTTTGCTTTGTCATTCTTTAAAATTTACCTCGTAGTCTGGGGTATCTCTAAAGTTCAGAACATTAAAATGTTAAATGTTTAATTTTTCACCTCTGAATGTGTTACAAGCATTAGAGGCATAGGGATATGGTTGTAAACTAGTAAATTTGTAGGCAAAACTTGAAGGTTTTTTAAAACCTTTAATGTTGTAGGCCAGCTGATTTGCATACACCTGAGCTTAATGAAATCCTACTTCATTAAGTTGTGAATTCTCATTAAATCAAAAAGTTGTAGGTACTGAGTTGTTAAGAAATCATGCTTAATGCCCTTTGATCCTGATTATCTGTGTGAATTATTAGCTAGCTTTTAATTCAAATACATTGTGTGCTACAAAGCTTTATTAGAAACATTAATCTCATAAAATGTCTTTGGGCATTGTCTTAAATGCATGTCAAAGTCTGCCATTTCCCTTTCCTCAGTCACAATGAAACTTCAAAAATAAAAAACAAGGCAATAAATGAAAAGATGAGAATAAAGAAAGATATGTAAGTATGATCTCTCTCTTTACAGAATAAGAAGGCATCAGGAGCTGCAGGTGTGTGTAGGTAGCCTGCACATTCACTGTGAATGTTGGGAAAAGATTTTGAAATCCCACAACCATTTCCATGTTGGTGTGACAACACCATGACAGCTGCATACCGTGACACCTCTTTTTAGATAGAAAAATGAAAGAAGCCCTTTTCCCTTGCAGTTCATCTTTTAAGATTGTGTTTGACTTCTTCATGAATTATATTAAGATTCCCCAAGACAAGGAGTGGAGAGGGACTATTTGAAACAGGCTTTTTGATGTCTGTCATAGTATTCCCGTTGGCATTTGAATTTCAGTATAGGAGAATCTTGAACTCTCTCATAGGGAAAGCCTAATATTATTTGTGAGTGAGATATGTATATACATGTGTATATATATATGTGTGTGTATATATATATATATGTATGCAAATCATAAGTAGATTTTTTAAAGCTCATTTTTTCTTAGGCCTATAAATAAATAAGCATTTATATAAACTGTGCTATTAAAACCAGCCTAATTCTGTGAGGTCTGGTTCCATTGTCACTATTGTATGTTTAGTAACATCTTTTTTCTTGAGTATCAGTCAGTAGGAATATGTAATCACTTGTTAATAAAACGATTTTTCTTTTATTTTCCTCTAATTCCATTTGTTATGATTAAATATTATTAGTAGTATGCTTTTAATTGATTGAAATACTAATGAAGTTAGTGATATCTGCTCGAGTTTGTGCACTCTATTAGCTGCCTGAAGTACTTAAATATGCATAGTTTCACTGTATTAAGTTTTTCCTTTTTTTTTTTTTTTTGTTGTTGTTATTTTGCTGGGTTTTCAGTAGTTATTTAGATTGTGCAGAATGTAATGCAAGTCTCTCAGAAGAATCTGTCACCTTCAATATTTGTTGTCTCTACCTGTCCATACCCACCACGGCAGTAGGAGCAAAATTCTTGTAGCATGTGTAGTATGTTCTAGTAGAATAAAACCAGACTGTAGTCAAGCTTCTTTCATCTCCTGAACTCACTGTGCATATTGGCAAATGAGGAGGCCATATGTTCTACCTGCCAGATGATTTTCACTGAACTCTCAATGTCCTTTCAAAATGAGACCTAACTACATTGGAAGGCCATCTAAAAGGATTTGTATGATGCTGTGATCCTTTTCTTTCAGTCTTGCATTAATACCTGTGCAAAGACATTAAGGATTTAGGTAACTGTTCTTTAGCAGGAATAATTTTTTTAAAAAAGTAAGTCTTAAAGTGGAAATTGTTTGAAATTGTATCTGTAAAAGTCACTAGAGATCTTTTTTCTTCTGGGAAACTTGTAGTAGAAGGTCACAGTATAATTTTAGAAAGTTGTAAGTCTTCACTTTTCTGTAAGGCATTACTTACTGTTTTTTACCTATAGTGTTTATTTGAAAGCAGAGAGCTCTTATTTTCCGTCAGTATGTATGAAGGCTGCTGAGTTCTTATTTCATGATCCCTACACTTGGCTGTATTATTGAGTTACTCTTGAAGCCATTTATTCCTGTCTGGGTTGGGATGATGTGCTTGTGAGGACTTCAGTGAATACTGCTTTATTGAAATAGAGTGAAAAAGACATGTCAGTAACTTTCCGCAGATGAAGAGAATTCTTAGTTATCATAAACTAACTGTAAAGTTGCTTCAGTTTAATGGCCATTTTAGTTATCCTTCAGCTTTTAATACTAATACATTGTTTCCTTTGAAACTGATCTTTTCCTCCAGTGGATTAAGAATGCATTTGTGTTTTAGTCTTTTGTTAAAAATGTAACAATCTTTACAGAGCTGTTGAAATATTGAAGTATTACTCAGTCACTCAAGGTGATTTGTACCTTAATGAAAACTTACTTTCTTTTGTAGCATAAATTGGTGCTATCAAAATACGTAACATTTTGCAGTCATACAGTTAGTCTCCTAAAAATCTGTCCAGAAATTGTTACCATTAGCAGTGCCTATTATAATTAATTTTTAAGTTAGTACACTGGTCAGCAATATTCTACAAAATTGCTTATCTACAGGATGTGTGTACGCACATGTACATGTATTAATACGATGAAAAGTTCTAGCCTAGAAAAGTGCAGACTTTTTTCTTTCATATTCTTAATATTTTACAGTTTTATAAAAGGAGTAAATTACTTAAAAGACACAGTTAAAAAGAAAGGCATATGGTTTTACCACAGTTACAGTTTAAAAATCTTGTTCATTTTGTTGGAACTATTACCTTTTGAGGAACCAAAGAGAATTGTGCTGAATTAATAAACATGGTTTTTGAGATGTCAAAGAAGTAAATGAAAGTTTACAAATATTCTTTTAATATCATTAGGATAATATAGCTTCAAAGTAATTTTTCCCAAGGTAGTGCTTACTTGTTAATACTGAAACTTACTTGCTTTTGTCTTCTGTTTGAAAAAAGAAAAAAATGAAATGTAGGAGGGATGAGATTACTTGAGGGACATGATACGAGTGTGAAATCACTCCTACACATTACTGATGATGCATTTTGAGAACTTTGCAGAATAACTCATGATTGATAAATAAACTAGTTTATGTAACTAAAAAGTGTGTATGCAAAAAAATTCCTCTCACTTTCACTGGTTGGAGAGTTGCTTAAATTACTCTTGTTACTAGAGTTTACATAATTAATTTAATCAAATATCTGAGTAATAACTAACCATTCTTAATTAGAGAAGAATTCTCAGCTGTCAACAGAATGTTAAATATGAAAGCTGTGTATCTTCTATCCTTTCAAGGAAAAGATTTAGTATGACTAATACAATTCTGACTGTATAGAAGAGAAAGTACATCCCAGTTTGAACTGAGCAAAAATACCTTTCAAAGATGTTTTCCTTGATGTTAATCTGAACACCTGAATATGTCAGATCTTCTGCTAGTAACTCACTCTGCAAGGAGTTTTTTTGAAGGGTTATCTCTTCCTCAGCAGCACCTCGGAATGTCTATTACATTTTACACCTAATTTTTACAAGTAATTTTTATAAGCAAGCACCTATTTTTTTAAGTAAGCAATTCTGAGAATTCTGCATGCAATAACTCTCAAAGTAATTAGACTGTTTGGTAAATAAAAAGTGTGTATGCAAAAGAGTTGCCCTTTTTTTTCTCATTGACGCACTTTGTTTAGAAGCAGAGTTTCTCAGGCATCAGTGGACTTTCCCTATAATATTAAAGGTGAACACCAGCAAATAAAATAATTTCAAATAAATTAGAAAATTCCAACAGGAATGTTTAATAGACTTCATATCATGAGATGTTACCTATTTTTACATATCAAATACATATTTTTGGAGGATGGCTTTTGAATATAATAATTGCAGGAAAATAGGTAATTACTCCCCTGAAGTTATTAATGGTAGCATTTTGTGTATTATTAACACACTTATTTGTGTGTGTGCTGTATTACTGGAGACAGTTATAGCTGTGGAGTTCTAATAAAAGGTACATGCATAATTAGGTGAAGTGAGTTACAGCTAAGCAAACTCCATTGACTGCTCATTAACGGTTAAGTAAACACTCACGTAGTCATTAATATTTTATCTTTTTGCAGTTTAACGAACTAGCATTAGACACAGCATTATTTTGACTTGTCTTCCCTTTTCAGCTACTTATGTTTTTCATTTCAGTTCTTCATTTGTATATTTTACGTTCCTAAGCCCTATTTCTCTGCAAAAAGCAAAGATTTTGGGGAAAAGATATCTGTTCAGTCATGGTCTTACTGTTTTATCTCTCAAGGATTTCTATATCTATATGAAGAGTTAAGTGTCTCACCTGCTCAGAATGTTGTTGGTAGTGAAGGCTGCTTTTCTGAAATTGCTAAATTTTTTTGATGACGGATTTGATCAAAAACGTCTTCTTGTGTTTCTTTAAGGAATGTCATTGTCAGCAGGATCTTCTCCTCTTCATTCTCCCAAAATAACTCCTCATACATCTCCTGCTCCTCGAAGAAGAAGTCATACTCCTAACCCAGCAAACTATATGGTGCCTACTAGTGCCTCTGCGTCTGTCGCTAACGCTGTCTCTCAGCCTCCATCTACTGGCCAGGTTATCCAGAAGGAAACAGTGGGTGGAACAACATACTTCTACACTGATACAACTCCAGCACCTCTCACAGGAATGGTATGTTGGCTTTCAATACACAACTGTCTGGAGTTTGTAAGTGCTGAATTGGTTGATACTACAGATGTTGTTTTTAATGCTATAAACCGCTTATTCTGTACGAAGATGAGTCGTTCTAGTTGTTCTCCAAAAATCACTGAAATACAAGGACCAGAGAAATTTTTATATATTTCTACAGTTGTGTAGAGCTTTCTGGGGTTTTAACACAGCAATAGCAAGAAAGCATTCTATATGTCTCAGTGGATACATACATAATGAGAAAACATCAAAAAGTCAGATTTTTTTTTGACAGGTTAAATAGCTCTTATATTTACAGTGATGGGGAAAAGGCAGTTACAAAACTGTGAAAATAACTATGTACATACATATATACACATACACCTCCCTCTCCCTTGAAATCTTTAGAAGTGAATACAACATAAAAAGATTGTAACATATCTGACAATATATTTGTATCTTGTACTGTACATGAGGATTTCATAGTTGTAACTGAAAGAGTGAGAAAACTCTTCATTTGCTTGATCCTTAAGGACTTCAAAAAGCTTCTTGAAATATTTTATTTTTAGGTTTTTCCAAACTACCACATCTACCATCCAGCTGCACCTCATGTTGCTTACATGCAGCCAAAAGCAAATGCACCTTCCTTCTTCATGGCAGATGAGCTCAGACAGGTAAGATGTTTGAGAGTTTAAAGGAAACTTTAATATCTTGGCAAAAAATAGAAATTCGTTAATGGTAGAACAGAAGTAGACACTTGCAATATGTGCAGTCAGTTTTCCCTGTGGAGAATTTGAAAAATCAAATCTTGTAGTAGGTGGAGTACAACAGAGGGTGGGGGTGAGTTACAACATATATGACTGCAATCTAATCTGCATGCCATGATTTACTATTCAGCTCAGTACTATTACTGATGTGTTTTTTTGGTGTGCATGGGTTTATTTTTGTAGTATTATTTTAAGCTGCAGTACTATTCAGTTTGAAAGTCTCCCACTGAAATGGAAGTGATGCAGGTGTTAGCTGAAGAGCTCTTCTCAGGGTTCATCATCTTAGGGCTGGCTGTTATTAATTTCAGCTTTACTGTAGTAGGTGCCTTTGTCAGTGCCAGCTATAGCAAATATCTTCTGAATCTCCTTCAAGAATTTAGGTATTTTATCATTCAAATTTTCAAGCTGTTGATCTTCTGACCCTCTCTGCCCTACACACTTGCATTAATTCTCTATTTTAGTACAGGTAGCTAATACTTCAAAGACAGTATTTTCTTAAATTATCAAAAAAAAAATAGCTGAATTATAATGTTCAAAACTTAATTTTTCCTTCAGGAACTCATCAACAGACACTTAATAACTATGGCCCAGATTGATCAGGCTGATATTCCTGGTGAGTAAGTGTTTCTCAAAACTCTAAACAGTGATGATGTTTTTCTGCAACCATGTACATTCATCTATATTAACAACCTCTTGCAAAAACTGCCACCTGTTTTTATTTTTTCATGGAGCTTTAATTGTCAGCCTGAGCCATGGTTAACCAAATGCAGTGTTTCAGAAATATGAATTATTCTTTCTGTCTTCTGTTGTAATTTTCTTCTGTTTTGAAACTCCTTAATGGTTGGGAATAGTTCAAATTGCTGAGAAAGGAAAAATCATTAAGACAGTTAAGCCTTGTGAAGAACAGTTTTTATTACTTTGTAGATATTAGATATATAGATATATATATATAGCTATATATAATGTAGATATATTTTTCAAATGTTGTATTTAAACTAGCAAAGCAGTTTGTTTTGAAGTGACTTGGCTGGTATATTAGAGAAGGCTTTGTGCTAGCTGTCAGGCAGAAGAACCATATACTGTTTACTGTGACTTGGCTTTTGGGGAATTTATATTATTCAGCTTGATTTAAACAGTTTTTGCTTGCAGTATCTTATCAAATGTGTGTATAATATGATAATGATGCAGTTAAAAAAAATGCAGTTTAGTGTTTTAATCCAGATGAAGTGCAAGGGTAATCTCTTAATCTGATTTACAAACCTTTAGCACGTCTCTCTCCCTGTTTTATAAACTAGTATATTAAAACACAAAAGACTGAAACTTGCTTTTTTTTTACTAATGAAAGTGTGGTTCTTACTATGGTAGGAAGTCTGCATGGAAATTGGTGCTTATTATTGAATTAGTGTAGGAAAAACACCAAAGAAATATCATTCCTAAGGGTGAATTTCTAAGGTAAAGGAGAAAATGGTAAATGGAATGAAAATGGCATCTATTCTGTTGATTTTACTCGGTGTAATACTTTTTCTAAACACAATTTTAGGTCAGTGGGATCACTTCTAGGAACCTGCCAGTATGTTGGTGTTAAAGCAAAAATAGTGGATTTTAACTTCACATGCACCTAATAGATGATGGAGATAATTTATATATTAGTGAAAGTCATTTTAATTTTCTCTGCTACTCAGTAATTTTCTCAAAGTCAGCTGAGGCCTGATGTGTTTCTGTGTATAAACCGATTTTAGCAGTTCCTGCGGAAGTGGACAGCTACCACAGTCTCTTTCCTTTGGAACCACTGCCACCGCCCAATCGGATACAGAAAACGAGCAACTTTGGGTACATTACATCGTGCTATAAAGCTGTAAATAGTAAAGATGACCTGCCGTATTGCCTTCGGAGGATACATGGTGAGAAAAATTGACTTGTCTCAGTAGCATCCCGAAGCATACCAATCATATTTTAGTGTCTGGTTGCTTCTCAGCAGTTTCAGAAATGCTAAAATAAAAATTTCTCATTCTAAACATTGTACTTCAAACCATGGGTTTCATTTTTTTCCTAGGTTTCCGTCTTGTTAACACAAAGTGCATGGTATTGGTTGACATGTGGAAAAAGATTCAGCACTCAAATATCGTAACTTTGCGTGAAGTGTTTACCACTAAAGCTTTTGGAGAACATTGTAAGTTTTTCTTTTTTCTTTCCCACTGCACCTCCCTCCCACTCCCCCAGGCTGATATGTTGATACTTTTTTCAAATGCACTTGAGTTAGTAAATATCACCTGTTTCTATTTTTAAGCTTTAGTGTTTGCCTATGATTTTCATGCTGGAGGAGAGACTATGATGAGCAGACACTTCAATGACCCTAGTGCTGATTCCTATTTCACAAAACGGAAATGGGGTAAGGAAACCACACTATGATATAATACTTCTATACACTGTTTCTGCGGTAAACATCTGGTCACAAATAGTTGTTCAGCTTAATTTTTTGGCTAATCAGTTTTGTCATGCCATAAGCTGATTGATATGAGAGAGTTCTTCTTCACCTCCTGTTTGTAAAATTTTTTAAAATTATCAAACAAGTATAAAATTGATGTCAGCATGTAAGGGAATCACAACTCTTTAAAAGAAAAATAAGTTGGAAAAAAACTGGGAGCCAGGAGCTCTGGTGTCCTTACTGCAGGTCTGTCACCAGGTAACACCTAGCATTTAATGGCATTAGTTCCAAAAAATTCAAAAGATATGCTGTGCCAATTTGATCTTGCTGTTTAGGTGTCCTACTCATCTGTTTTTTTCCTCACTATGTATTATGAGAAATAATTAGACTATTTTATTTGATGATTTGAAATGGGAAGTACTAGTTAAGACAAGAAATGGATTGAAAAATCCCTGTACCACATTCTTTTCAGACGCCAGCTTCACATCTTAGGTCTGAATTATTTTTTTAATGATGTTTATACATAGCTTCAATTGAGTCACTAAAACTACATCAACATTCTTAAATGAAATCTGTCACAGGATGGTCTGTGGCTCAGCAAGTAGCCCAGTAGAGCTCATATGCTTGTGGCTAAAGCCTTTTCCTCTCCAAATCAGTGTGCTGTCCATCATTCTTCCTGTTAGGACCAGTTTGTGACCCCTGCAGTCTTACAAACTGCAGTCAGGTATTTGCAACACAAATAGTGCCATGCTGAGGAAGAGATGCGGTCACTGCTAAATAGAATCACAGAAAGACTTAAGGTAGAAAAATACCGTGCAGAGCTTTTTTGGACCAACTTCTTGCTTGATGCAGGACCAGCCCTGAAATTAGATCAAGCACTAAAGATGACCAGAGGACTGTGACATGGTCTGTTTTACAATTTTTTAATTAGAGAAGATCTTCCCTAAATGTCTTTAGGCTGCCAGTGTATGAAGGGAAACAGAAGCTAAGGTTTTTTTCTTTCTTGTGCCTTTTGAAATTAGAGCTTTTAGCTGTGAATTCAAACTGTTTCAAAGGTTGACATCTATAACTTCACTTGGCTATCCTTTACATCAGAGTACATTGGTTTGGTAGTGTGTGAATATTTTCAAAGGCTTGAAGAAAACCTTATATACATTCAAAGACTTGTAGATACCTTATATAATGCATAATTCTCACTGACTTTGGACTGAGCTGACCATTATAAGTGGAGATGGAACTTGATTTCCACCACTGATTTTGGTGGTAATATCTCAGATGGAGGAAACCCCAGTTTGATTGTGTCATATCCTGTGTCAAATCAGAGTGCAATTACAGATTCAATGAGCCTGATGTGAAACTAATTTCGTGAGATAAAACTGGAAGATCTGCTGCTAGGTTAATGACTGTTACGTGCAGGACTAGACTCCTGAGCGTTTCCCAGTCATGGTTTTCAATTTCCATGTGAATCAGTCCTTGTTATGTTTTTGTATCTCTCTAGAGAATCATAGTAGAATGATGTCTGTTCTAGATAAAATCATAAAGTTATAATAAAATTCTTGGGAACACATTCTTTTGTCACACTGGAAAATAATTAAGTTATGGTCCTATAAAGAGCAGTCATGTCTCATTAATCTGTCAAAGTTCTTTAAAGGAAGATCCAGTAGATAAGACCTTTGAGTTTTCAATGAAGTCCAACGGAGTCTTTTAAAGAACCTACGTAGTCATATGGCAGAGAAGATTCTCAGGTTAATGCCTGGTTGGAATATTGGAAACAGAAAGAGAGAACAGTGAAGATCACTGACAGGTCTCACAAGATGATGTCCTGGGAGTTGTATTTCTTAACACATTCACTTGTTTGCTCTGAAGATAAATGGTCTGTCAAAGTTTGCTGGTATTACCAAATTATTTGGATTGTTAAAAACAAAGGCCAATTGTGATTGATTGCAGAAGGATCTTACAAGACTGGCATTCCAACTGATAATATAGAAGGTGATGTAATGTAAACCAGTGTGATCAAAGGAAAAATGTAACTAGCTTTGAACATGAAGCAATGGCCTCTGTTGTGACTGTTGCAACTCAGTGACAGGTCTGGGACCACAGTTAAGTAGATTGAAGAAAGTACTGTCCTCTTGCTGAATAGCTGTAAATAGGTTGATGTAGCTTATTAAGAAAAGGGCAGTGAAATGGTAGACATTGTATTAAAGATGTGTGTGCCTGATAGACTCCTATCTGTAGCTGTGTTCCTCCTCATGCATTTTGAAGGGTGTAGAAGAGCAGTGAAGAAGTTGATATGAGGTGACAGGGATGATCAAAGGTGTGGAACAGCTGGATGAAGAACAGCAAAGTGGAATAATGCTTTTCATGCTTTTAAAGATGGAAAGGAATATAATGGGGTTAAAAATGACTAGCGTATGGTCTGAAAAATCATCTGGAATAATGAAGAAATTAATAAAAAAGTTTATTATTTCTTCCAGACTTCAACTAAGGCCTTACCAATGAAACTAGACAGGTAGCAAATTCAAAACCTGTGTAACAATAATTAAGCCATGGAACTTTCACAGACTATTGTGGACATTTGCCTAGGTTCAAGGGGGAAGTGGGCTTACTCATGCAGGAGAAATGTTTGGGGACTGCATAGGCATGATATTTACTTCTGGGCTGCAAATCACTGGAGGCTAATAGAACATTCTACTTGTTTATGTTTATACACTTCAGTATTCATGGCAAGCTGATTTTAGTGTATGTGTCTTTGAAACAGGCTCATGGGCTATCTGGACCCTTTGTTTCGCCTACTTCAGCTTCCTTTTGTAGGCAGGAATAATCTGGGAAGTTGGAAATAAGACATCAATGTCTGTTCAAACCAAAGTATTAATTAAAATGAGCTGCTGCAACAGAACTTATAGGGATATGTAGGGAAGATAACGGTCTCCTGACTGTGGCACTTACTACCTGCTCTTGCAATATTTTCAGTAGACAAATTAGGGGAATTCCCAAATTTTGCCAAATCTTTCTGCATATCTTTGCTTTGGCCTTTTTTTTTTTTTTTTTTTTTTGATAACTGCTGCTCTCTAGTCTAGTCTTCAGTAGAAGGAGCAATTTAAGAGAGAAAAATAAGATTGCATACCTATAACTTGATTTCTCAGAATTGCCTGCCTTCATGGATCCTTTCTCCATCCCCTCACAGAGTTTCTTGGCCGTCTGCCTGCCTAGAGGAGACTCCCAAGAGAAGCAGGGGAATGGATGGAAGTTGGGTACTCTGCAGCATGAGGCCCAGATTAGTACAATTGCTTATAAAGGTTTTAGGAGGCACAACACTGTGAACCTGATCAGTGAACTCAGAGAATTTGATTTCAGGTATGCAACCTTATTTATGTTGAACACTTCAGTTGGCAACATGAGACCTTGATAGTTAAAAGATGAGGATTATGGTTTACATGGCTGTCTTGCATGTCACTGGTGTCAATGTGGTCAGTCTGGGTGTTTTCTTCTTGCCATGTTATTTACAGACCCTATTACAGGACTACCTTGCTAGAGATTTGGTGTGGGGGAGAAAAATAACAGCTTACATTTATTTTTATACTGTAAACTAATGTCTCTGACTTCTGAATGCAGTAGAATTTGTTGCTTGTGTTCTTTATTCAATGATACCTCCTCTTCCTTCAGATGGTACTGTGTGATCATCTAACATTGTTCTGTCATATTTTACTAAATTTGCACGGTTTAAAATCAGGAATCTGAATTTTCAGTTAATTGCTACTCAAAGTACATTTATTTGAAAAGATTGTTTTTATATTATTCACACTTCCTCTGTTTCCTCAAAACACTTCTTCATACTCTAAACATTAAATTTGTTGTTCTGGAACTTTTTGGTATTCTTCCACCTTTCTTATATTTCTTATCTTCAGATTATGACACATATTAGTGCACTTGTCTCTGCCAAAATTACGTTCTCTTTGCATTAGCAAGTTAACCCAAAAGTACTGAGATGTTGCTCTTAACAGTCCAATAATTGAATGGTAAACTAAATTCTGAATGTATGTACTTTAAAACTTGAACAGCCAGAAAATCCTGGCAAGTTAACAGTAACTATTGACAGCTGCCAGGAAAGTTTGTCCTGGTGAGTTTTTGTGGTTGGCAGAGATAAGCCTGCCTTTGTTATGTCTTTTGGTCTGCTTTTAAACACTCTGAGTAATTAAATGTTGGCGTACATGCTGTTAGTAGGAGTTTTCAGCAGTACAGTCTCTGTTTTTCAGCAAACAAATACTTTCTGATGAAGATAAGCATGGTCTGGGAAACTTGCTTTGCTTTTGACACACACTAATAGTAGTATGTCATGCGCAAAAATGGACTTCGCTGCTGACTTCACGGTTTTTGCATCCCTACGTGCTGAATGTTTTTTTATAAAATACCCCTTCTATTGAAAAAGAAATAAGTTGTGTGATGACTAGATGAATAGTGTGTGATGAGGACTAAGAATATATGAATATTGAAAGTCAGCATGATGTTTTTGAAGACAAAATATGTGACTAATAATTATCCTAAAATACCTTCGCCAAGAGCTGCAACTTTTTCAAAGTAAGTTTCAGTTTTCAGTAGCTTTGGAATTTTTACAAAAATACTTCTGCGTTCTAGCAGATCAGAAACTTTCTGTGTACTCAAAACTGAGAAATGTAAAACCAAACCCCAAGTTTCCCTGAAGGAGAGATGAAGGCTACTGCATTTGTCTTGTTTTTAGTACTTTAACTTAGGAACACCAAATAAACCCTGAACGATTCACAGTTTTAAATGTAGAAGACTGGTTTACAAGCCTGAGAGGTTCAATTTAGTAAACAGCTGAATCTTTCATTGGGTATTTTTTTCCTTCATAACTGTGTGAGAATTGCTGTTTCTTGGCATGCTTTCAGTGTTTCTGATGATGTCAAACAGGTCCTACTGCTTGTGTTCCCAGGTCTTACTTCCCACCCCAGGACTATTCCTGGATTCACACTTGCTGTGGAGAACAGAATTTCATTTGAATGCTTTTTTTAACACGCAAAAACTTAATATACACATCCACACTGTTACAGAGGGTAACTTTTTTGTTCTGTTGTCAACAGCATACCACAGAACTAAAAAATAAGTGTCAGCATTTTTATTTATTTATGTTTGTCCCAATGTGGCAAGGAAAAATAATGGATAACCTGTGTTTTTGAAATGGCAGGTTTTAAATTTTTAATCTTTTCCATTAGTGGCTGTGTTCTACATCACAGAGATGAAATTACTGGGAGAGGTGAATCTGCCATGCAGTATGTGGGAAGAGCACACTCTGAAATTTTGCTTGTTGTAGCCATAGATTCAGCCTGTGGTGGGAAGCCGTTGCAAGTCAACCATGGCATCTCTTAAAAAAACACTTTTTCAAGTAATACTCTGATCATTTGGGTAATGTTTACTTATATTCTAGTTATGTTTTTCCTTGTGTTCAGCACTGTTTGGAAAGCTTTCCAACTGTGTGTTTTTCCTGAAGAGCAAGCTTTTGGGTCTCATCTCCTTGGGTCCTTGCTCAAGTGCTGTTTTGTTTGTGGCAGGTGTGATGGGCCTCTGGGGACATACATTATAGTCAGCATTGCAGCCAACAGAACTGCTTTTAATTGTGCTTATTTTGAACACATAGGTATGTAAGAGGGCATTTCAAAGCTGATTCTTCCCATGTTTTAGGTTGTATGTTTAGTGTATGTCAACGTGGGGTGCAACCAACAGTTGGGAAAGCAGCAGCCTAGATTTGGCTGTAGCCTCAAGTAAGTTTTTCCAGTAGTAAAATAATGTTGCTTGAGATTTTCTGATAGATGAGGAGAAGCTGTGTCAAACTCTGTTCTTTCCGTATATATTGGATATTCTCTTGGTTGCATTGCCTTAATTTGAAGATCAAAGGGCAGATGCTGTTATGCATGCAAAAAAATAACTGCCAAGTTTCAGCTTCTCTCTCTTTGGGATATTATAGCAACATTTCTATTCTGGACTTACTTCGTACAGATATAACTGTCTTACAGTATCCATGCACATACCTTACTACTAAACTTACTACTCGTGTTGATGTTCACCAGATATAAAGTGCCTTCTACAGCAAGTAGTAAAGAGTCTCAACTAGTACAGGAGGTTGTATCTTCTCAGTCATTTTATATTATAATTTTTGTCATTCTGAAGAAGAGAGAGTTATGAGAGAAAAAGTTTGCTGCATGAGACTTGGAATGATGGTTTTTGTGGGAAGTGATTTGCATAATTATTCATTGGGGGCCAGAAAAAACAAACAATATCTCATTATATTCAGCTTTCAGTAGACATGCCAAGTTTATTGCTTTTTAAAGGAGTCAGCATTTTGATCTCCGTAATCTAAACCAAAGTACCTTAAACCTGAAAAGCAAACTAAAATTTCAAAAATGGACAAAACAAAGCTCAAATGAAAGCTCGTAACATTCCCAGCCCATGACCCCAAAGTCAGTAAAATTTCCAAGTAAAAAGTTATCAGGAATGTGTTTCACTTTTTTTTCACTCTGCATATATTTTGTGTGTGCGTATGCGTGCAAGTATACACATACTTACTTTGATCAAATGCACAGATGTTGATATGGTCCTGTAGGAAAAGGGGGGATAAAAAAACCCCAACCTAAAAAAACAAGAACAAAAAACAAAACAACCCAAAAACCCCAAACAAACAAACAAACAAAAAAAAAACAACTAAAAAGAAATCTATGTTTAGAGAAGAGTGCGGTGCAGTCAGTTCACAGTGAAACCAATCAGATGCTTACATGATTTTACTTAATACTGGTGATATTACTGGTCTCAAAACAAGCAAAATCAGTACTGAGGCAACCTCTTGAAATATCTCTGTGGTTTGTAAAATTGAGATGTACTGTCTTACTCTGGATGTATTTTCTTCTGCTTCAACTTTGTGCAAGGCAAACAATGCCAGCTTACCTGAATTACACAGATCATACTTAAAATAACATTTGTTATCTATATCTTCATTTTTTCATCTGTGACTCAGTATTACTCAAACTGTCTGTAATGTAGGATTTGAGTGTGTGTTTGCAAAGATTGAGTCTTACTTTTGAAAGGAGAACTACAAATCTGTTTGGAAGGGGAGCAATGCATTTCTTTCATACTTCCCATGGAATAGGGGTCATGCAGTGATGACTTGTCAGGGAGCTGTGTCACAGTAGAATGTAAGTGAAGTTGTGTTCAGTGATGTTTAGTCTCCAAATCTTTGTCTGATTTGCTCATGTAAATTGAAATTAGCCCGTTATTTTTTTCTTATTAGATGATAGAAAATGTTTAATTGGGAAGCCTACCTGCAATAAAGGCAGTAAAATGTTGCAGCTCTTGTGGTACATACTCTTTGTTTCAGGATATTGGTGTTTTTACTTCTGAAGTGCCTGCATATTTTGATGTACCATCTACTTTGAGCAATTTCCAATCAGTGTTCATTCTCAGCTTCAAAACATAATTTCCCTGAATGTGAGAATGAAAATAATAATGCCTAATGAATTGTCAGCATTTTCAAAAAAACACATGTGAAACCAACCAATGGGGAAAAATCTGTTCCCAAACTCACCTTTAAAGCAACATAGATGTGTCTTTCAAGGACTATTAAGAGTTAAATGAAATGAGTGTGTGAATTAATTGTGTAATTCAAGATGTAGTACTTTGGTTTTTGCACAGCAGCCTTCTATTGACGCTCACAATGTTTTGATTCTAGGTCAGCATGATGGACCTCTGCCACGGCAGCATGCGGGGTTGCTTCCAGAGTCTTTGATATGGGCTTATATTGTGCAGCTCAGCTCTGCCTTACGGACCATTCACACAGCAGGACTGGCATGCAGAGTTATGGATCCAACGAAGATTCTGGTAACAGGCAAAACAAGGTAATGAAAGCATTCAGTCTCGCTGTGCTCTGCGTTCCTGGCAGCTGCTGACTGTGCACCTGATACGTAAATAGCTGCTAAGTTCTCTCAAGTGGCCTGAGGCATTGTGCTAAAGCTTGTAACTTTGGTTTTTTAAAGGTCTTCCAGAAGATATTTTGGGAAGACTTATACATTGTCCTCAAACTGCTGATCAGACCCACTACTGTCAGTTTAGAAATTTGTTGATTTATTTGTAAACTGAATACTATCTGTGTGTTTTATCAAATAGTAAAATCAGTCTTTTCTGATTCATAGTAATTTTCTAAGTACCAATGACTTTTATAATATCAAAAAATTCAATGGATTTTAGAGGAAAATTGAGTAACCAATAAAGTTTAATGGCAATTTTTTCTCTTCTCTTCTTGTTCCTAAAGGTTACGAGTTAATTGTGTTGGAATCTTTGACGTTTTGACATTTGACAACAGTCAAAATAATCCACTGGCATTAATGGCTCAGTTTCAGGTATGACAACACTGCCAGTTAGGTTGGTGGCTTGGCAAAGGGATTACTGCAAACCAGTGTGATTCCTTTTGGAAGACAAGTACTTTAATTAAACTGTAGTCCACTGTATCTATGTGTAAATGACTGTATTTTTTTCACTTCTGATTTGATCTTGGTTCTCCCATACACTGTTTCAAATTTGCTTATAATTTATAAATGTGGATGCTCATTTTGATATCTTCTGCCTCTAAAATTTCAGCAAGCTCACCAAACAGGTTGAACTATAGTATTTAACAAACTTAAGTCAGAAACAACTGGAAATAGAAATTTCTAAAGGAAGGAGAAGAAAAATCTTACATTTAGTGTTAGAGATAAAAAGTAATGATTCAGTAATAGTTTTTGCTGTGTCTTTTGTGATTTTAACATAAATAACTAAGTGTTGAATACCTGTTGAGAGGAGTAAGATCTTTCAATTAACTGCATTTAGACCCTCTCCTCATGCCAAAAAGATTCTAGTGTATCTTTATTTTGGGCTCCTAGTTTTTCCGTGCTCTCCTGGTGTTCTCTGAAGCGTGGACTCTGCATAATTCCTGAATTAAGAAGAACCCCTTTAGACTTAACAAAAACTGTTCCACAGTCATCTGGAGCATCACTGTGTACAGGAGTGCCTCTTTCCCTAACTTCCCCTCAGGGTAAAGTACATTACTTCAGCAGTCATCACATACCCTGTCTGTACTGGGAGTGAAAGACTACAGTAGGGAGTTGGATTTAATTTATTTTCATTAATTGACCTTATTCACTGTGAAAACTGCTTATTCAGAGCCTTTAGTCATAACTGAAATGTTTGAAATTTGGCCAGAAGAAACTAGCTTGTTGGAGACCATGTCCTAGAACATAACTTTTTTTTTTTGATGGTACAGTAAAGCAGTTGTCAGTGTGCTTTGAGGAATACACCAAAGGATTTCACGCTCACACACACACTCAGCTGCATATCAGTGGGCTTTTGGTAATAATTTAGTGGAAAACAGTTCAGAGAAGATGAAAATATATGTAAATCCATGCCTAAAAATGTAATGAGAGGGTTTTTTTTAAATCTAAGTACTTCTCTATTTTAATTTCAGCTTGGAAAGGGATCCTCCTGAGATATTATGACATTCAAGTAAAGAAAAATATTTAAAATACTTGAAGATACAAATCTAAAAATACTTGCAGGTACACAAGTCTGTCAAAAGCACTTACCACCGTAGCAGCTCAACACATGGCAGCTGACTTGCTTGATAATGCCTAGTTTTGTTTAGGGGGAATGGCTTTTCATGTTTTATGTGTTGTTAGTATTCAAATTGTTTAGATTGGTCTGCTAAACCGGAAACGAAATACTCCTAAATACTTTGTTTGGAAGATCTAAACTGCAATTAGTAAATACAGTATGGCATTTTCTTTCGTTGTTTTTTTTCTAGAAGGGTCAGGCTTTCACTGCCCATTTTTTTTCCTTCAGAGGTGGCAAACTGGGTCAATTCCTTGAAATTTAGGGGTCATTTCTCATGCTCTACCTTTGTTTGCCCTAGCCAGATAAAATTACAAAATAACAGCTGTTGCTCGTCCTTTTTCCTTTCGATCCATGACCCAGTTCCTGAATTCCTCTGGGATTCCTGTGGCTGTTAAAAATGTAGGTTGTCTCTTGGTTTACTGCCCAGCTAATATGCATTTCCTTGTTGTCTTCAATGGAGAAAGCTATATTTGTTAGGATTTGCCATTTTCTGGGTGTTTCCCATGGTTAATATAAAGAGAGATTTTGGCCAAAACAGTGAGGGGCTATGTAAAAGGTATGCAATTGTTCTTTGCAATCTGTGTTAAACACATTAATCTCGATGATCATTTGAGAGTTGCATGAAGGCAACAAAAAGGGAAGCTAAGCTAAAAAGAAGTAAATGAAATACGAATGGCCACTTGCATTGAAAACCAGGGGTTAAACCTGTATGAACTGCAGCATGTGACTTCCCGCCCCGCCCCAGTCTATAAGTCTTGTGTCAGTCAATTGCAGGGTACAGATGGGAAAGCCTAAACGGTGATACCGGAAACAGTAAAAGGGTTCAATAATTATTTCTGTATTTGGAATAAAATGTAAGTCCTCCCCTTTACAAAAATAAGAGAATGTAAGTTTTGCTGTTTTAACAAGGGCTATAAGTTTACTTTTGCTTAAAGTAAATTTAGCAAACCAAAATAACTTTCACATGCACCTCCCCAAATTTAAAGAAACTAGTTTGAAGAGATGTCTCAAGTACTAATATTGACTCTAAAAAAACCCCACCAAAATGTAGGAACTTGGAGGTACTTCTAAGGACAGTTCCAGAACTTATCCTTTTAAGTGATTCCACAGAACTGGAGTATAGATGAGCCGATACTGATCCAAGCATAGCAGTGGATCAGGATAAACAAAACAAAATAAAAAGTAGTGTTGGTTTCAAAGTGTTTCTGGAAAATGGATCTTGTCAAAAAAAAGTTTTATTTGAATAGCTTACATGTCTGGCTGGTAAAATCAAATGTATAAAATGTTAAGTTATCTCTAGGGAATTTGGCAAAGTGGCGCATACCTATTTAATAAAAAAAAAAAAAGAAAGGGTACCTATGCAATTAACATTTAAATATTTAAATTACTCACTTGACGTGCTTGAAATTGACTTGATAACAGGGAGACGTTAATGAAGGGGGCTGTTTCTGAGTTTATCCCCTAGTGCTGGTTTTTAGTGAATGCTATTTAATAGCTCTATCAATGATCTAAATGCTGATAAAATCCTTACTCGCAAAGCTTTCAAGAGATAAAAAATTAAGTTGGTAGAGGTTAAAGTTATGAATTGAATTACTAATTAAATGGCTATTAATTGCATGCAAGGTGCATTTTTGAGCAAAAGGCTACCTGTGCTTGAAGGTGTAAAGCTTTTCCTTGAAGTTAGGAGTCAATTTAGTATTACTTCATAGTCACTGTTGATAGTTACCATAGCAGTTTTCTGTCAGATCTGTGGCAAAAGGAACTTACGTGATCCATAGGAGCATGCAAACACAATAGGGAGTATAAACAAGGAAATGATTGTACCTAATATAGATCTGTACCTTGCACTAGCAAGGCTACTACAGGAATGCAGAAAAGTGTATTTCTGGTGTTCCTGCTGCAAGGAAGTCTAGTAGTTCTTGTGTGCCTTCTTTAACCTTTCTTTGCCTAGGAGCAGTAAGAGATGAATATTTTCGGAGGATAGGTTAGGACTTAATAGGCATATGTGGATTGCTTCCTTACAGAAAGAATGGTGTAACCCAGCTTCTGGGAAGTCATGTACCCTGTCTGAATTTATAGAGTGGGTCAGCAGATGGTAGTTTAGTTGCTTCTGAAACAGTAATCTGACTCTCAGAAATCCTGAACTTTATGGGATCCTTCCAGCTTGTGATATTCTGATTCTCCAGTCACACAGGAAGAATATTGCCTTTGTGCTCTTGTAAAACTTTAAAAATTGGGTACGGTGATAACATTTTCTTCCATGGTTTCAGCTAACAATGAATAGTCAAGTGCCTCCAGAGAGCAGTTCAACTGGCTCAAAGTCTGAATTGTCTTACAGAATTACAGTTGTCTTAAATTGATCAGTCTCTTGACTGAATGCTTGAAGTTCCTAAAATAAGTGGGATGAATCCAAGCCACTTGTGTGTCTAAAACAAGCTAATCATCTGGCTGCAGTTTGAAAACTCTGTGTTTGGGCGTGCATTGGGGTGTCATATTCTCTCTGCCAGTTCTTCTGGTAGATGTGATTTCCAAAACAAACAAAAATTTAAGATTGCTAGTTCAATGCTCAAAACCCCACAAAGCTCGAATTTAAAATTTCCTGTCTGATGTTAAATGTAAGACTTTCTCAATCATTTCTAAAATCTAATGCAATCTGTATTATGAAAGTGCCTGTGCAAAGGAAGACAATTTTCATAGGGTCTTGCCTGTATGTTTTCAGTGTCTCAGGACTGTGTGATGATACAGAATTTATATAGATTATATTCTTATGAATGACTAAAAGTTGAAAGGTATTAAGTGTAAAGTAGAGGACTGTAGAATGAAGTCTAACTGTCGTTAATACAAATGCATATTTCTTCCAAGAGTTTTTGGAGAAAAAACTCATAATGAAAATGTCTTTGTCTCAGGTGACACATGTTTCTAGATACTGCACTGGCAGAAATCCTCTGTTTAGAGCCATAGCAGTGTTCCCTGCTGCTGAAATTGACTACTTGTTAATGGAAGCAAGTTCACACCAAAAAAGGGGGTTTATTGCTCTGATTAATGTCTCTCTACTAAAGGAAAAAGGAATTCTAATACTCAGAAATTTTGTGTTGCTTAGGAAATAGTCTAGCAAATGCCAGTCCCACTTCCTTTTCAGCCACTTTGTCCTTATTTGTCTCATTTTCCACATCCTTTGTCTTCATTAGCTACAAGAATAATAAGCTTTTTAACTTCTGGCATATTGTGTATCCATGTTCAAATTGTGCTGCTTAATCATACAGGAACAGCAGGGACATTGAGGGACCTGGAAAGGTTTGGTATTTTTCCCTTTCCCTCAGCACCTGGGAGATGTGGCTTCAGGGAAGGCTCTCCTCAGCTACTGCAGCCAGAGGCAGCAGGTGTGGTTATGCCTCTGGGTGGAAGAGCTGTGAGGGACTGTGGCATGTTCACCATCACAGCACTTTTCTAAAGCTGCCAAATTCTAACCAGAACTTCTAATGCTGCCAGATTTTTTTAGCCTTTCTTACAGAAATGACGGAAGGTAGATTCCTTGTATAACTGCATTCTCTGCTAAATGGCTTGGCCTTGCTCTAGGCTACGGAACTGCCATACTCAATTACCCAAAACCCCAGGAAAATTCTAATTTCATATCTATAGCTGACTGTTAAATTCACTCTGAGGCATGTCCAGCATGGAAGGCTGCAGGTGTTTTAAAGGTTGGCCAGGTTGTTTGCAGCTGAAAGCCTTTCCATGGACAGAATCAGTTCAACTTTTCCTATGAATGTCATTGTTTGCTACTAAATTAGGCTCCTGCTTTTAGCAGTAGAATTTTAAATCTGTTACAGCTTTTAAAAAACATTTCTCATGGCTGGCTATTAATACTGGCAGAATTTTCTATTATGGCAAAGCAGGCTGTATCCAGCATTCGCCTTTTAAAAGCAGTTCTGCTTTTAACAAAAGTGTTTAGTAATGCAGAGGTTTCTTCATAACACACAATGCTGTTCTGTTTGGCAGCTGTACAGGCCTGTCTAGTTATTTGGCACAGTTCAGATCTTTTCACACTGTCCATCAGAGATGAAAATGTTTGAGCAATTTATTAAAATGGTGATATCATGTGTTAGAATGTGGTGTGGATCCCAGTATGGAATTCACACTGAATGGCTAGATTGAAAAAATATTATTGCAGAAGATGCTGGTTTCAGTTTAACAAATAATTGTTTTATTTCTACATCTCATATTGAGGAGCCTTGTTCTGTTTGCCACCAACTCCTTGACTTGTCAGGATTGAGCAGGTGGGTGGCTCAGAGAACCTCATTACAGAGCTTCTGCTCACTACACAGTTCTCTCTGGTATAGTCCTTAAACTAAAAATAGGTAAATTTTAATCATTCAAAGATAAATATAGTACTTAAAAATTGCTAGGTGTCAGGACAGATTTTCTTCTGTACTTTTTAACTACTGTTACTTGAACAATCATATGGAACTATGATTTGAATAATACTTATTTTAGTTGCTCAAATTCTTTTAAGGTTGTTGAAGAACTGTCTCTCTTTAGCATCATCTAGTACCATAAGGTAGTATTTATCTGTACTAAGAGTCTTACCTGTGTGTGTTTTCCCTATTAGCAAGCAGATCTGATCTCCCTGGGGAAAGTTGTGTTGGCTTTGGCTTGCAATTCTTTATCAGGAATTCAGAGAGAGAATTTGCAGAAAGCAATGGAACTGGTGACAATCAACTATTCCTCTGATCTGAAGAATCTGATTTTGTAAGTTTGTTTAATAAATCTTTTAATGGAAATTGCAGCAGTTTTTTATGTATACAAATGCAAAAGCCAAATGGTATTTTTAAATGCAAGTAAGATTACAGATAAATCTACTGTTGTTGAGTTGTCTTCGTGGTCAGCGTGCTGTTAAACATTGATATAAATTTTTTGGTATTATGCTGGTAAAGCTCTTAGTAAGAATTAGGAGTGTGAACAAAACAAGCATTTTAGGTTGTCTTAAATACTGGGCTTCATTGCATGTTCTCTACAATAGCAGTATGCTAGTCTTATCTTACAGTTTCAGAAGGTACTGAGAAATAGGCACACTGACTTTTTGGCCAAAAGGTTGAGTGCTAGCTTTTTCTGGCTGCGTATTCTTTTTGTGTCATTTCAATATAGTCAGCCTTTTTCTCCCTTGCAGCCTGAGTGTGAAAAGTAGCAGTCTTTTCTCCTTTCCTCGTTTGAAAAACAATTGCATTGCAGTCTGAATCTGTAACTATCTCTCTTTTTGTATATGTTCTTGCTGTTTGAATGGAGTGAACTGCACAAGTTCATGGAAGTTCATACTCCTGCCTTGTATAAATAACTGACCAGATGTATTCATGCAAATTGTGTTTTCTTGATGGTATCATCTTTTAAGAAGCATAACAATTGTCAACTTTGTGTATTAAATACAAAATGTTAAATAGTTATAAAATCATAATGGAATATAATGTTTGGCATTTGCAGAAAGTAATCTTTGGTGGTTGGGTTATTTTGGCAGGTATTTGCTGACTGACCAAAACAGACTTCGCAGTGTAAACGATATCATGCCTATGATTGGTGCACGATTCTATACTCAGTTGGATGCTGCTCAGATGCGAAATGATGTTATAGAAGAAGATCTAGCAAAGGTAAATCATGTAGTAATTCCTGCAGAAAGACCTGTAGTCAGTGTTCCTAGAGCTGTAACTTAAAAGCAAATGTTTTCTACAAGTTTCTGTTGGGTTTTTTTTTTCCCCTTCTGTTTGTTTATTAACCTAAGTAATCTGCCTGAAGGCTTGACAGCTCTAAACTCAGGCTTTTGAAAGCCCCCAGAGCTTCAAGAATGCCTGGTTTTAAGATGTCTTCAGCTGTGTTTTAACTGAAGTAGCATCTTCATTTCCAACCAGTAGTCTTGGGAAAATTATGTTCTTTATAGCATGGTTAAAAATAGCATTCTAAGTAAAGAAGGCCATGTATGTCATGTAGATCATGTAATGTGTGCTAAAGCCTCATAAATTTTTTGGTTCGGATTTTGTGTCCCTTCTCTCATATGTTTTCCTTTCTGAATGAATTCTAATTCATGGAGACACCATGTTCAGCTTTCCTGAGGAGTGCACTCTTCCTGTGGGGGTCTGTGGTGTTCAGTCAAGGTATCAAGTGCTAGCTATTAAGGAAATATGTGATATGTATCAAGTGAGGGTGGATTTGTTCAAAGGAAGGAGTGTCCGTTAGTCCGAAGTGACTGACGGCAGGATTTCTACCAGGACTGAGATACGTTGTGGAATGCTTTCTTGGCCCTGAAAATGTGTGGGATAGGGTACTACAAAAGGATTTAATCAAGTCCTGTGATTCCACTCCATATAACTCTTCACTGAGAACTTTTTAAGAGACAGTAGGCCAGTGTTTGGGATTCTGATGGACTCTGTTCTCTTGATTTCTTCAGTATTGTCCTGTTGGAAAACAGTTTTCCCCTCCTTTATGAAAGATGCTGAAATCTATCAGAAGCAAGGAGCTTTAGAAGAGCCAGGCAGTATCTGTGTGCCTCTAGATGCTGGGTGCCCACATTATCAGAATCAACTCCTAATCCTTTTCCAGAGGTGTTTACAATCATTTGTTGTTAAGGTGGCCTATGTGCCTGCACAAAGCTGGGCAGATGGACTCCTTCCCGTAGCAAAGATGGAGATTGCCCTGTGATCAGCATTACAATTTCTGTATTTTTAGTCAGCCTGTTTGCGCAGTTGTTTATCACTGGCAGGTGGGCAGAGGTACTGCAAGTTGTTGCTTGGCCCCCATTTTGGCAATAGCTGTTACTTGACAGTGATAAATACCATGTCTTAATTAGCTGTTACACTGTAACTTGCTCCTACTATGACATCCCCTCCATTAACATCAGAGCTACAGTATCCCTTAAGTCTAGTCTGGTACCCTCTTTCATTTTTGTCCCAAAGCACTTGCTTTGGAGGGAGTATTAGAAAAAGACTAGCATGTGTGATTTTTTTTTCCCTCATATTGTCCAAGCATGCAGTCATCTGTAGCTTAGGAACTTCAGATGCTGGGTATGGTTTGTATGTAGTTAATATCTTTGTCACACTTTTCACAGAGCACTAACGCTATTAGGCTATTCCTTTCCTTCCTCACTTTTACGTACATCATATGGTTGTAATAGCAGTCAAAGCCTCAGTTTATAAGCCCTGTGGAGAGTATCTCCCTCCTTGCAGGCTACTAGGCCTGCAGGGAGGCCTCTTGAACATTTAGTGCCTGTGTTGTTGCTCAGCTGTGTCACCATTCACTGGGAATCTGCAAGGCAGTGAACTTTACACAGATGTAGTTTTGGCTTTTGAGTATTTGACCACATGCCAAAAATAGATTTGGTGGTTAGACCAAATAGTAGACCTTGGCTAGCTGGACAGGGTTAGTTTTCCATGTCAATCTCTTTAAGTGTAGCTACTGTTGTGGTGCAAGCTGTTCTCCAGTGTGTTTTTAGACTATTAATAGGAATCTGCAGCCCATAGGTTGTCCAAGGTCAGGCTGCTATCACCTTGACCCACTTTATTTACCCAGCTGTGCACAGTAATTTACTCCAGACTGAATTCAGTTGAAATCAATATGATCATGCATGGAATTAGATGCATCTTAGTATGAACAATGTTGTAGACCTGAGCCATTGGAGAATTTGGATAATATCACAGAGGATCTTTTCCTGACAGCTTCAATTTACACTGTGAATTAGTTTTTTGTTTAATGTTAGCTAGGATGTTGCTGTTTTTACTGCCTCCTAAGTGCTGTGGAAAAACACACTAAATCAGCTTTCAGTTGCATGTGTGCTAAGCAGCTATAATTTTAATGTTCTGCCTCTGTGTGACCTCATTGTCATTGCTTTATTTAAGTCATTTATGGACTCGGCATTTATACTCTTTTAAGACTTAGATTCTAACTGCTTTGAAAAAACTTGTTTCAAAATAATTTTTGCAATCAATTATCATTTGAGTATTAATTTGATTATATTGTTGCTAAATATTTATTAATAATGGCCTACAAAGCATTTCTGAAAAACAGATCTTGTTTCTTCTCATCTTTACCTGAAAAAAGGTGGTGTACTGCATACTTCTGCGTATCTTGGTAACTGTGTATATGTGTGTGTGTATATATATAAAAAACCCATATTCTTCTTGTTTAACTTACTGTATTTTAGCATACCTGTGAGTATAGGCTGGCAGGAGATTACACTTACATTTCCGCAAGGAAATAGATTGCTTGGTCCAGTTCCTGCGGGGTCTGAGAAGTATCATCAGTTGCTGCATCTTCACATTATAATTTGAAGTGCTAAAATGAGCACTGGATTACTAATAAATAATACAATGTCTTTGATTTTTGTCTGAAAAATGATACCCTCTTCTTTGAATAATAAGTCTTTTTAATTAATAGTGCTTCACTGGCATTATTACCATGTATCTTTTGCAAGTAAACGTCTAAATTTGGTTTCAGAGACTCTTAATAACCTTTTTCTTGTTTTCTAGGAGGTGCAAAATGGAAGGTTGTTTAGGCTCCTAGCAAAATTGGGAACAATCAATGAGAGGCCAGAGTAAGAAATACTTGTTTTTGTGGTTTAGAGTATGTAAAACACAGTTTGCAATGCACTTTCTTCCTTCATAAATTTAAGCTAAATTTTTTTCCCCCATATTTGCCCATGGAGAAATGAGTATTTAAGAAGCTTTGAGAAAAATTAGATAAGCAACTTTGACCAAAACTTTAAGTATACAAGAGAAGGCTACAAGAAGATATGCCAAAGTTGTTTCCTTGTATTTAGTATGGTTTCTCTTGTGAGAGGCAGTAGTTTTGGAGGAAATCCGTAGCTCGCTTTAACTGAAGCAAAGGATGTAGATACTGGTTTTAAGCTAGTGAGTTTTCACCTTATTTTTTATTGACTAATTACATCAAAACGAAGTCTGTTTTCCATCCTTTTACATAGTTATGTTTATAATGCAGGTTTCTACATGTGTTTTACATGGTAAACTTGTTGCAGATAATTTTTGCTTTCTTCCATTTTTTTTTGGTTGCTCTTGGAAAGCATTAACTTTATGTGCTCAAGCAACTGAGAAAGTTTTTGTATATGTTATCTTCTGTTTGTGGTGGGGGGGACTAATTTAATTGCAGTTGATAGCAGGTAGATTAGCTGTGCAATAAGACTACTCAGCTGAGATTGAAGTGTCATTTATATCTGTGGGGTTTGATTTTATTTAACTTATTGAGCTTTAATATGAGAATTTGTTTTTCACTAGGTTTCAGAAGGACCCAACGTGGTCAGAAACTGGAGACAGGTATTTACTAAAGCTCTTTCGAGATCACCTTTTCCATCAGGTGACAGAAGCGGGTACTCCTTGGATTGACCTCAGTCACATTATCTCATGTCTTAACAAGGTACACTGTACTTTGGTTAGCTTTTACATGTTTGATTGCGTTAGCTTACTTTAAAAGAGTATTCCACTGCAAAGCAAGTTGGCACTGGAAGGTTAATGCCACTGGCTTAGCTGGCAGTTATTTTCCCCATTTTGGATTAAAACCATGTATTCACTAAGCTAACATTCCAACATCTATGGATATTTTTAATAAAACTAGTATATGAATATTAAAAAATTGTTAATATAGTGTGAGATACAATATTAACTTTTCATCCTAGAATGCATTGATTACTGTGGATAAGCAATGCTGGTCCCTTTATGCTACTCTGGTCTTTCAACACAGCATAAAGGATCCATGATACTCCTTTAACTGGGGGAGGTTTCTGCTGGTAGTTATCACAAAGGATGCTCATAAGGCAAGATCCATTCCTAAACTGTGCTGACTCAAGTAGGAGACAGGAGGGAAACTGCAACAGAAATTTATGCAAAATCCTTACCATCAGGACAGTGCTAGAAAATGTCTGTGACTTAAATTGTTAAGTCCACTTCTACAATAACTTCCCTAGTCTCTCCAGCTGTTTATTTTCCAAAGCTGACTTAACAAAGCTATTTACAGTTTTCTAAGAGCTGCACCACTAGCAAAATTTTATCTGAGCACTCTCATGATTAATAGCAGGAGATGTGTGAGAGACCACAAGATCTTCAGTAGATGAAGAACTTGACTTGCTCCATAAATTAAAAAGTATGTGAGCTGATTAATTTTTTTATTGGTAGATCAGCTTTTAACCTATTTTACATTGTTTTGCTAAACTTCAGTAATCCATGGGAGGCTAAGATGCTGCAACTTTTTTTGTTGTTGCTTTTGTAGCTGCTTGGTAATTTCACTTGCTCTGTAGAGCAATGGTGATGCAGACACTGACAATACACAGTTTTAGTGCCCAATATTTTCTTTTCTAGGATTAGGATAGCCAACTTTCTCCAAGAAAAGTGGAATAAATTCAGATCCTTTGATGTGTAATAACTGTACAGTTAAATATTTTTCTAAAATTGTCAGGGTTTCTAACCTCCTATTAGACCACTGCCGTGCATTTTTTAACCTCCTTTTTATCTTTCTGGTTGGTGTCTGTAATCACTTTAAAAAGGACATTAAAGGGATTGAGGCTAAATCAAAAAGAAAGCATGTTGACATTCAAGTAGGCATTGAAATGCCATCATGATTTGAAAGCAGAGACTCATACAGTACTGTAGCAGGAGGGGACAGTCCTGAATTCATAGGTCAGGTAAGAGACAATGTCAAAGAATGCCTTGTTCTATAAATGTTCATGGCTTACCTTTTTAAACAGAGGCTCTTCTCTTCTGTGGTTGTGGGCTCAGCACACAAAAAATGTAAGGCTTACAAAATTCTCCTTTGGAAATACACTCTAAGAAGCACTTCAGGAACTGTAGAAGTACTAGTAGAAGTTGTATGGACTTTACTGGTACTTGCCAAACACATTCCTTTTGAATGAAAGCTATTCTGTTGTTCAAAAAAAACCAACAAACTTTCCTTTTCATTGTGGTGTTTTGAGCATCTTTTCAGCTGAGAATATTGATTTATGCATCCATAGGAGGAAAGAAAGCCATAAATATTGATGTTTGTAATTAGCAGTGTGGCTTTCTTAATACAGATCTTCCATTAGGAAGACCTTACCATTAAGGTAATTCATTGATTTGTTGTATGATGCTAATTGGAATGAACAGTGGACAATATTTCATGAACACCTTAATTGTATTAATATTTTGTAATGCATGTTGGAAGACACTGGTGTTTTTTTCCTACTCTACAAAAATTAGAAGCTAACTGGCTTGCTTTCAGCCTTCTGAAACCATTCACAAAGCAGCAGCTTTAAAATTTGGCAGTTCCAGCTTTTAAGGTCCACTCAAAACATTACTTTAGAAGAGAAATGCAAGAAATTGCTGACTTGCTATGTTGCTCCAGACAGCAGCTAGTAGAACATCTCAGTGACAAATTTCATTGCTTTTCTATTCAGTACAATATTATAATACATACATTTAAACCTGCTGGGGTTGTATTTCCAAAGAATGGATTGGTAGTGTCATATCTCACTTGTCTCTGCCCCACTTTTTGTATTGGAGTAAGAAAGACTGTGGTGGAACTATCAATGTATGACTAAAACAAAACTACAAGAGTTCTGCATAATAAGAAAGTCTTGACAGTTCTCTATTGATGAACATTTCTTGCAAAGTGAGAAGAACATAAGAAACATGTAAAGCATGTAAAGCAGCATATTCTTCTGTTAGAAATTAGGATCTAATGGTATATAAAAAAAACTACGTATTGAATTTGAGAAGTCAGAACAAACCATGAGAAGAAATGTGGAACAAACGTTGATCTTCAACCCCAAATTATCCATTTGGTTATGGATTATACCAAAGTAATTTTTTCTGTCTAGGGGATTAAATGTACCATACAGCTTAGTTTGTTTCCAGTACTGCCAAAAATGTGAGGTTTGGGTTTCTACCAGTTTTCAGGCTACCTGGGGCTGCTCCATCCATTATCCCATTTTGGAGCAGACAAGAAGTAAATTACCTACCCTACGTTTAGGCTTGTGGATCATATGTGCAAATGTAATGTCAAATTTAGTTTTGTTCTTTAGGAAGTACATGAAAATTTTGCCAAGCTTTCTACACAGGGAAGTAGAGCATTCCAGGATTACTAGCTTTGTGGAAAGGGAAGGAAACAATGGTAATCTAGTCCTAAGTTCGGGAATGTCCGTCAGGTTAAGACTAAAATGTCTCGATTTTTTGGCAAGGACGTTGTTGTGGTGCGATTCAGATTCTTCCTTTGTGTCCTGTTAGCGGATTTGAACTGCACCATAACAATGTACTTGCCAAGAAATTGATTGCTTTTGTTGTTGGGGAAATGTTTTGCCATTTCTTTCACACTTCTTTTATTTTATCTTTTGCATTCTTGTTACAGTTAGATGCTGGTGTGCCAGAAAAAATAAGCCTCATTTCCAGAGATGAGAAGAGTGTACTTGTGGTAACTTACAGCGATTTAAAACGCTGCTTTGAAAATACTTTTCAAGAACTGATTGCAGCCGCAAATGGTCAGTTGTAGTATTTGCTGAAAGCATGCAGGACATTGCTGAGGAACTTAACCTATAGCAAATTGCACTACAGCTGAATTGTTGTTGTCATCTCATTTCACATTTGGGAAACAAACAGGAGATGAGCAAAGCTGCTTGCACTTCAGTCAGGTACACTGTTACTTGAAGGGAAGAATGTTTCACTTATCCTAGAGCTAAGGCTGCCATTGGAGGCTTTATCTGTGAAGAATTTATTTTAGATTAAGGAACACATCAGGTGCATGATGTTCCTACTTTTATTTTTTCCACTTGTATATGCACTAATTTTAATTTTTTTAAGACTTTTCTGATCTCTGAAGTTTTGCCACATTGTATACTTAAGGGAAACTCTTTGCAAGGACATTTCTGGGATACATTTTTGTCACTGAGGATATAGCAAAATTTATTCATTTTTGATATTATTTGCACCCAGAATAGCATAAAGGACCAGGTAAATAATTTAATAGAAATTGTGTTCTATTAATGACCGTTTAGTTCGTAACCTCTGTAAAAGTGTGTTGTATGCAAGCTCTGTATGCCACCCACTGTTAGCTCAAAGAAATGTGAGAAGAAACAACTTTTTAAAACCAGTCAAGTGAAGTATTGGTGAATTGACTAAAAAGGAAAGAAAGTCCCCTGTCATTCGATTTAAACTTTGTCTAAGCGAAGTGACGAAAACAGCATAATGGGAAACATCTTTAATTTAAGGAGCATATCAAACTTGCTCTAAACACAACCAGCGCCTTTTAAAAACTGTTTGTACATTTTCCTGGTAGTCAGAAGCATTTACATTTATGCAATTTTTTTAATAGTTTTTTTTTAAAGAAATTGTTTAAATGCCTGAAGTTTCAGGAGTGTATTACTTTAGGTTATTTACAGTATAATTTTTGTATAAAGTTCTGTTCTTTGAACCACAGCTTTATTATGGTACGCTACACTGGATACAGATACAAAGACACTGTTAAAAGAAGATTAACTAAACACAGCAGTTGTCTGGCATCAAGAGCTTTTCAAGTTTTACGGCCTGAATCTGGAGGGATAATGATCTGCTGTGCCTTTGCAGTCACTGCTTAGCCCAAAGTAATATTACTTTTGCTAATACTCAACACATGAATATTCCTGAAGTAATTCAGTCTCAAAAGTCTGGAATTTTGCTCCTCAATTACCTTTCTAATTTTTGGACATGCAGTTGTCTCCAAACTTGGGTATTCATGGGATTTCTAGTTAAACACCTACACTTTGATACTGAAGACTGCCAAATATGTAGGAATTTCCTTTCTTAAAGCAGTAGTGAAGACTGTATCTATCCTTTCCCAGCACTGAATGTTTTAATAGCACTGGGTGCTCACCATGAAGAAAATGTGGAAACTCAAAAGGTCAGGACAGACTCTAAGCACTTGCAACTGATGTTACTAACATCAATTTTAATGATTCTCAACATTTGTAGTTTTCAGAGAAGTTTTTATTATTTCTCTGTCCACTTTTATAAGCTTTAAAATGATTCTCCGCCTTGAGACTTGCATCAAGAAAAAAGCAACTCTCTTCACATCGAAAGCTTTGAAGACTAGGGACATGCTTTACACATTTTAGAGAATGTGGTTGAATCCACATTAAGTAGCATCAGTTGTTGAGTTTAAAAATCAATTATTGTTGCAATTTTAAAAGGAACATAATGTTTAATATTCAAACGATAACAGTTGCCAGAATGTTCTTTTTAATATAAAAGGAACAGGAACTTTGAAAAGTGAACATGCAGAACAGTCTTTTATCATTAGCTCATGTATTTGAGGAAGAGCAGCTGTCTTTTCTATGTTTTTTGACAAATCATATTGTAATTCTTTTGTACAAAAAAAGAAGTACTTGTATTCTAGAAGAAATATGGAATGCTTAATTTATAAGCGGGCTGAGGTTTTTTCCAGTATTGTTTTCTTTGAAAATGAAAGGGGATCATCTGTTCAGTTGTGGGGTTTGGGAACCTTTGAAAATTTAATTTGTGGACCAATATTTTGTGGAAGTGTAAGGCAGGGGTAAAATAGGGCTTGAATTCTCATCCTTTTTAGACCAGCACACCCTCTGCAAGACATGTCTAAATTGCAAACCTGTGTGTATTTGCATAATGTCAGTTTGCTTCAGCCCCTAGTAACCTCAGGACTTGGTTTAAAAATAAAAAGGTAGACAGCTAATAAGTTTTCATACATAATGTCAGCCAGAAAATATTTGGTGTCAGGTAATACATAAAATTAAAAAGAAGTTGAGCTTTGTTTTCTATTTATTTTTTTTTCTCTATATTTGGGAATGATTTGAACAGTCTGAAGTTCAGCTTGGGTGTTTTTTTTGGGGGAGAGCCCTTCTACCCCATTTTAATTCCATTTAGAAGGTTGTCCTAAAGTTGTAGTTTGATCCATTCATAGGAAGAACTGTGTATCTGTATTTAAAAGAAGAGTCACCAGGATGTGCCCTCCCAGATGGGAAATTTATTTCTGACCTTCCTATTTTTTACAGCTAAAAGCACAGAAGGGACAACCTTTGAAATCATCTGATGTTGGTCATTTTAATTTTTGTACCTGTTTTAAATTTTGTTGCTGTATTTACTATATTGTAAATATTTTGTTGAGGGTACCTATGTATTTTTGATTTGCCCTTGTTTCAGTAATTCAGGTGTCAACTGCTTCCCCTAAAAAGCACCAGTATGTTAAGTTCTAATGTCATGATCCCAGTATGTGTTACTCATCTTTAATCCTGTTTTCATTGTTCATGTGTACAGCAGTATTTTTAATAAAGAATACCAGAAGTAACGTGGCCTTATTTTGACATTGTGAAGCTCTGAAGTTGGATCCAGGGCTTTTCAACTTTGGTGGTGGAATTTTATTTCATTCTGTCTGCAGTGCAGAGTTTAAACAGGAGTCACAAATTGTGTTTAGTGCTTGCCACTTAGAGTGTATCAGGTGTTCTAAAACTGAGAGATATTGTTCACTAGAATTGTATTAACGCATACTTCTGTAACTCCCAAGTCAAACCCCATCTGCTTCAGTTTGATCAGATCTGCTTTCCTTGATAAGCCCTACTTTTGAAACTCTGCTCAAGTTCCCTTACTTCCATGTTTTTTGAGCTTTTTTTGCTCAGTAACAAAGTGTATTAATTTCTCTGAGAATTTGCACGTGGAGTCGCAATAACTTCATTTCGTGGAATTCTTTTCCTGTATTTTTAACCAGCAAAGGTTCAATGATTTGCTGGTGGGATAAAGTCTCCTATATCCATCCAATGCTGACCGTGCTTTTGGAAGATGTAATTTTGTGTAATATATTGTGAATTGTCAATAGTCCCTGCACATATTTAACATGGAGTCTTTATTGCTGAAATTGCAGTGTTTTAGGAATGTTATTATATAAGCTACATTGTTTGATTGATGCACATATCCAGTCTCCAGTTTCCTCCTTAGTAATGTGCAGCAACAGCTACACAACTCCTGCAACAATTGATGATTCCCTTATGCTTTCCCAGAGAAAGCTTCGTCTCCACTTCCTTCCAGCAGAGCCCCTCAGGTGATTGAATATTGTTTAGCAGAGAGCACTTGATTGAACATCTCTGTGGAGGCAGCCTCCCCAGCTTCAGATGGATGGGGTTGGGGGTGTGGGGATTCTCTGAAGAAGAGAGTCTCTACTCAGGCCTAAGGTGCTGCCTGCTGCCACAGAAGCTTCAGAACTGGCTTTGGTGGGGACGCCTTAGCTCTGTTTGTCCTTTTCTCTCGTGTGCATCTTCTAGCTGCTGAAGAAACCAGGGATTGTGAGTGGTTGGGTGGATGTTTGTCTTTGTCTTCCCCCACCATGAAACCTTGGCTCTCCCAGAGGCTAAGTTGAATTTTTGTCTCGTAAGCTCTTCTTAAATATGCTGAGCCTAGGGATTGTCACCCACACAGGGAGCAGTGACAGGTGTCTGTCACTGTAGCTGGTTTGCTGTGCGAGAATTGTGCCTTCCTTCTGTGTGATTATTCCATGTTCTCCTTTGCTCGGAAAATCAGCCTGTGGGATGGATGTGTGCCAGATGTTGTGCTACCAGTGCTGACTTGTGTGCCACAGCAGTCTTTGACACTGGCAGAACTCTTAATTTTTTTTTCAAAAGCAAACTTTATTATATGAATTTAGTAGTCAAACACATTATATAAAGACAGAAAATGCAAGACAAAATAGAAGTTCTTCACATCTGAAGACACTTGGGGGTTCATAAAAAAGTAATCTTTGTAGTCCAGTTTTCTTAAATATTTATGCATAAAAGCATATTTATATATTTACACTGTGCAAACATGTCCTTTGAGATGCATCATCCTGTAACTATTCCTGCTCAGTTCTAGTAACAAAAGAGTACTGAAACTTTTGTCTTTATCAAGGTCAAATATGCTTTACCAACAAGAGGCAGTGCAATAGATACTTAAAACTGATGATCTCTTGTGCAGAGATACTTAGAAGTAGTGGTACATGTTTGTTTTGCTTGATTATCAAAGATAGTTTATATTTGTAAATATGCAAAAGGTAATTTGCCTTAAAGTCTGTTAGTGGGTTACATTCACTGCGCTTTACCTGAATTCTGAGAGAGCAAGAGATCATATAACATGTAGCATTTGAGTTAATACATATTTAGTGGACCACAAGAAGCTGACATTGGGCTGTAATTGATTTGGCAGATATCAGTGCTGCTGTGTTAAATGTCCAACTCTCATTTCAATACTGCATTCAAAGGTGAAAGGGAATGGGTGCATTCTAATGCTTCTTGAGCAAAGAACACTCATGACCTTTCTGAGATGCTGTACAAAAGTCTGCTGTAAATGAATGATACATTTTTATTCCTGTACATACTGGTAACTTAACACTGAAATTTAGGTGTCTTCATAGAAAAGCTGCTCTAACTTTACAGATTGTCTTGTAATTTTTAACTAATCTCTTCAAACTCTCTAGTGATCAATTAAAGTTTGTGCAGTCTAGTAGCCATCCTGTCTTTTCAGACAGATTCCCATAAATAAAATATAATCAGTGCAGTGTTAGAAGGTCTATGAGGTTTTGTGTACAGAGCTTGGCTTTAACCTATCTACCTTGTGGTTTGGTTCCAGTGTGTGCGTGTTGGCTTACTGACAAAGTGCAAAACTTCAATATTTACTTGATTTCAACAGGATTGTCCAAACTGAATTGGTATGTATTCCCTGTTGTTACAGCCCTGGATCTGGTCTTAACTCTCCTCTATCCCTACCAGTTGTGTTTAGCAACACATTTTAAATTCTTGCCTTGCAAGGCTTCCCTACTGTGCATCTGCCATCTGGAGCAGTAAGATCCATATAATGCCCCATCCCCAATTAGCTTATTCAGCTTCCCCAGAGCATCAGCTCTCCCACAAGTTTCTCAAAGTAGTTTTCATAAAAAATATAGTTTGTGGTCTGTTTCTAGCTCCTATCTTCGTGAAGGCTCCTTTATTTTCCAGTACAGCACATACCCCATGGGTACAGCACAGCCATGGGATGTGAATACCTCAGTTCCTGGTGCAGATTCCTGGCTCTCTAGGAGCTTCCTCTCCCAGTCAGGACAGAAGTGACTCAAGTCTGAGCAGAGGCTGTAATAATGGCCTTCCAGGTTTTCCTGGATGCAGAAGCACTCAGCATTTTTAGAAAAGGCTATTGGTGTTGAGCATTTGGGAAAGCCAAGATTTAAGCAATAATATTTTGCTCTATTTTGAATGCATGTGCTGCAGTCTGTAGAAAAGCAGATCACTGGGATTAAGCCAATGATAACTTTTCAAGTTTTATGATAATTAAAATAATTTGAGTCAGAGTTTTTAAACTGATAGTGTTTCATGAGAAGCTGCATGCTTAGATCTTGGCCTAGAAGTACTTAAACTGGTGGCTGAGAATAGTGGACAACAGAATTGTAGTCGGGAGGAGGAGAACGGCTGGCAATCATTTTCTCCAGCATTGCATAACCACAGGTGTATCTTCGCTTGGAGTCACTGAGCTGGTCACAGCTGAAACTGCAGAAGCTTCTCGGCTTGGTTATTCCAGAAAGCACTGACTCCTTGCTCCTGCTGGCACCTTTAATGCTGTAATAGAGCAGTGTCATTGTGAGCTTTCTTAACAGGTAAAGATTTTTGGTTTAGTGACTTGAGCAAAGCTAGGTCACAAGTTAATTCTTACGTGGTGGGAAGGGCATTGATGCAGATGGACTTGCTCAGTGGGAGTGGAGAACAGAGGAGTGAAGGAGCCCTCCTGTGATCCCTGTGAGTCCCCTTTAAACAGAGGTGCTGGGAGTGAACAATACTGTTAAAAGTGTTTGTGCATTGTATCAGTCTTGCTGCTTGGGGGGAGTACTGGACTGCTCAGCCTAAGCTCTAATTGCTCATTTGTGGCAGGTGCTGGGGAGTGAAACTTTATTGCAGGCTGGCATAGTGGGGAGTGTCTGGCAGCTCTGCTGGTGCTGAGGCAGCATATTCCCCCATCTAAATGTTTCTTCCTAACGGAACAGGGTTTTGAGCAGGAGTGAAGTCTCAAACCTTGAGGCAAAAGTAGAAAACTACTAGTGTAGGTGTTCCCAAAGCCTAATGCTGGGATGAATTTCTAATACAAATGGCTGATGTTTGTGAGGAAGGACATTTGGTCTGGCTATCTGCTTTTTTTGGCTTCTTTTGGCAGCTGCCATGAACTGCTGGTTTGAATTAGAATTTTCCTGTCTCTTAAAAGGGCCAGTTATCCTGTAGGCTGCCTTTTATAAGATGCCCTTTACTAAGAGGGGTTTAATGTCTTCTGGGCAAAGCCACTTTTAAAGGCAGTGTTCGCTTTATGGCACTTTGTCACCCATAGTCAGAGATTGCAGTGCTTACAAGGAAGGGCTCTTTCAGTAATGAAGAAAATCAGAGCAAAGAGAATTTTTACACCATTGAACTTGGATACCAAAGGTTTATCTGTAGACAAAAGACGAGCCAGAGCATTTTTCCATCACTGTTTACATGTGAAATCCTAAAGTAAACATGTTGGACCACAGTGTCTAGAATTAGATTTCCTCCCCTGTATTTTATAAGTTCATGGACAATCCACCCCTCTCCATTTATAAGGTCAGAAACATTGGCAGCCCTAGTCTTGAATTCCAAATAAGACATTCAGAGAGCGTCTGTTGAGGCTTTCAGAGCCCAGGGTTTTGCTTTTTATTTTATTTTGCACTGTTAGGTCTTCAAGTCAAACTACAGAACTAGTGGTACAGGACCATTACAAGTTCCTCTTAGATGTCACAGTTTCTCAAATTCTAACTCAGAAGCCTGTGTGATTTTTTTAAGGAGTGTGGTCTCTGTCTTCTGTCCTACTGTAGGAAATTGGAAGGTCTCCCTAAGAAGACCACCCTGTTAAATTTATTAGTAGATGAATGGAGTTCCTGAGGAGGAGCCCTTGTGATGAGGATTGCAGATGCATCCCATATTTTCATATTGCATCTGTTGGCAGATGGAGAAGTACTTGCCTTGGGATAAATTCCATAACTATGACAAGGTTAGTCACAGATGCAATGGATTTTTTTGTGATGGGTTTAAAGAGAAATGCCTCTGTGATTTACATTGTGATTGTGAGTCTTTGGGAGCTGGCAAAAGTGGAGTGTGTATGACAGGTTGTGAATCTTAAAAACTGTCATGCTTTGATCCTTTCATCATCATCAGGCTTTTGCATCCTGAGATTTTTTTTGTGAGCTAAACTTGGCTTCTGCTTTAATAAACCTTTACACTGGTAGAGCTGCATCTATTAATTTTATCTGGAGTGCACTGCTGTACCTGGGCA